AGGGCATTATCATGATCAGTGCCCCCCCCCTCAAGCTCTTGGGCGCATTCTCGGGCAAATTCTAAATTCCCCCCCAAACTATTCGTTTTATTTAGTGTAAAAATTCCCCCCCCCCAAGCTTTAAGTGGGCGCATCGTGCGCCCCCCTGATCATGATTATCTGTGGTAATTATCTAATCAGTATAGTAATAATAATCCTATCTAATCTGTGGCATTACCATAATTATCTTTCGTAATAAACAAATCTTTCTATATATAAAGATACCGTTTTTTATGGACTGGTGTTCTTGGGAGCAGGGCCGGACTAAGCGCACGCTGGTCCATAGGCCATTCAGACTTTTTGGGGGCCTTAGATTAAATTTTTTTTCTCGTATATTTTTTATTTATTAAAATATAAAAGTATTTATATATCTTTTCATTCAAGAAAGCATATTTAAAATTAAAATAAATAATAATAAATTTTTTGCCTTTTTGTTAAATTAGAACTAAAAAAATTATCGTATTTTATTAATATTTGAAATTGATTTTTTTTTAAAAAATCATTGTTTTTCTTAATTTTTTATAATTTATTTTCAAAAAAATTTTTTTAAAGGGGCCCCTAATCATTGGAGGCCCCAGGCCATGACCTAGTCTGTCCTGATGGGTAATCCAGCCCTGCTAGGGAGCAAACTGCACTGTGAGAAAAAAGGTCCCAATATCCAAATGGAGGATAGGGTATAGTTTGTTCGAAGTAGACAGAAGTAAAAAACATTATAAATAAAGTACAGAAAAGTACATACTATAGTTTCGGTTTTCCAAACAAGAACATTTCTCAGTCTCTAAACACGAAATAACAGAAAAAGAGATAAACAAGTGCAAACTGGCTTTAAGCAGAACAGAAAAACAATAACTTACAGAACATAACAAAACGAAGGATGATAAAAAACAGGAGTGAGAGGGTTTGGCAGGAACCCGAGGGGGCACAAGATTTAATTAGGATAGAGACATTGGAAAAAGGTGGAATGGCAGAAAGATCATTGACTAAATTGAAGGAATTTTTCAAAATAAGGAATGATTCCCAAAAATCTAATTCAGAAAAGTGTTCAATAATTTTAGCAAAAGAAAAATCAAACCTATCAGCAGATCGTTTATTATCCTAATTTTAGAATAATCCTTCATGCCCTTTAAGTCCATCACGCTAAATAGACAGATATTTCAAGCTCTTAGGTTTATGGTTCCAATAGTTAAGGCAATAACGGAGTCGAAAGTTTGGATCCCTTAACTTCTCTTTCATATTTTTGCGTATTTTGTCACCTCAAGGAAGTATTTTTAAACTATTATTTTTTTAAAAAAAACTACTTGTCTTTTCAAATTTTGGATTTTATCATTTAAAATTAAATTGCAAAATTTCGCATACTTAACAATTCAAACAGTTTCAGATCATATTTTCCATATTAAATTACCTATGCCCTGAGAGTCAAATCGAATTAAATCTTGTGAATCGAATTTGTCAAAAAAAGCACGTTTTTGTGTCTTATTTCGTAATTTAAAATCTCGTCAGCTCAAATTAATTTTATTTACTTTATAACCGTCGTTGAACAGCCGACCCAATTTTAAGCTTACAACTGTCACGATATTCACTTTTAATTTGAATATCGTATTTACCTTGTAATTTTGTAATAAATTGTCTTGTAATTTTGAACCCTATCCAGAAGACTAAAATAGCAAAACTTTTGGGCTCTCAATATTGGCTGAACATTTAAAATGGGAAAGCCTGAGAATTTAAATTGGGGACATAATTTTTGCCCGATCATTTAAAATTGGATTTCAATATCACCAAAGTATTTAAAATGGGGCCATATCAACTGCCTTCACGGTGTTAATAAAGTTTAAAATTCTTTGGCTTTATTTATAATCTGAATATTCATAAAGAAAAAAAGCGTCTGTAATAAAACCAACACACACCTCAATTTTTTGGAAGATATTTTTATTTATTTGTTTCTATTTGTATTTACGTGCGTCATTTTAAATTTCAAGAATTTTTACATTGAAAACATAGCTTTAAAATAAATATTTTTACAAGCAGTATTCTGATATATACTTAACAAAACTGAGTATTCTGTTATACTTAACAAACATTTGTTAGACGTTTTAAAAATAATTAAAATTTTTACAGCATAATATACCTGTTAAAGGTTTTAGAGCTTTTTTATCTGATTTTGCACAAAACTAACCATAAAAAATATTCTAACTGTTACATGTGTAAATATAGCTGTTATTACTAAACCATTAATCAAAAAAAAGTTTTTAAAAATGTGTAAAAATAAAAAAAGTATTAAAAATTGAAAAAGAAAATGGAAGCATTTTGAAATTAAAAACGAAACAGAAAAAACAATATTACAAATGCTTTAAAGTAAATTAATAAATGTCTATTAAGAGTGCGTGTCAAGTACCCAAGAACTTTTATGATTTTTACTTTTGCTGGAAAAAAAAATTTCTGGGGGTAAACTATTCATTCCGGAAGAAATTGTCTAAATTATTCCTTCTAGAATATTTGAGGAGATCACGAACAAGAGTTTAGTCGCAGGTTACAATTTTCAGTTTTAAAATTTATTTTGCTATTCAAAAAGTAATTCTGTAAGTATAATACCTATTATATCTACTGAACGTACTTCCGGTACTTATTTTTCTTGCTGAATTAGATTTTTTATTAGAAAAATGTATATGAATTTTTGTAATCGTTTTGAGGAATCACATTTTATTTTATATTATATAATCGTCGTTGAGCAGCCTTCCCAATTATTGTGTTTACGGCTACTAATGTTTAGCTACGTAGCCTTGTAATTCTGAACCCAATCCAGAAGACAAGGGAACTCCTGGATCCAGTATTGGGAGAAATTTGCCTTCATGGAGGACTTTTTGATGGAACTAACCCGCATTTGCGTTGCATGGAGAGGAAAACCCACGAAAACCTCTGGAGGTCAGCCTGACGGCAAGGGGACTCTAACCCATGATCCGCTTACCACTGAGGATATTTTACGTCAGCACTGTGGTCGGTGCAAGACGGATGCGGAATTCGTATCGATCAGCCGTTGCCGGGATTCGAACCCGCTTCCCCTGATTGGAAGGCGAACGCTCTATCCTCTGAGACATCGCCCCTTAGGGATCACATTTGATCAGAATCAACATTATTTGGAGTGACCAATGTCTGTATAAAAATATGCAAATATCAAACTTTTTTTTAAATTTTTTGTGTCTTAAGCACATTTTTTTCTACCTAATTTTGGTACTGTCTGTTTTTAGATTCTAGTTATTTTGTTAAGAGAACTTAGTAGTGACCTTTTTAAACTGGGTAGTGGTAAACAATATATTTTATGAACAATTTAATATATTACTTTTCTATGAAATCGGATTAGTGCTAAAAGGTTACATTTTAGATATTTAAATTTTACTATTTCTAACTTTATTTTAACAAAACGATTTTATCTTGATGTGGTTTATTCCTATTTTTTTTTTAAATTAATAATCGGAATCTATATTAAAAATTTTTTTTGATTTGATTCAACTTTATTTTAACTTCGTAAATTTTATTTCATGAATAATACTTCCTGATGATGTAAGATATTTATAACTACAACCATTTCATTTTCGTCTGATGTATCTGTGTTTGACTTTAGATTTCTGTTGTTCGTTTAGTTCCACTATTTTGCTACTCCAATTATGTTACTCTCAGAGTCATCCATGTGCGAAGGGTATTGCCATTCCACAAAACATTCTAATATACGGAGGTACCGGGTTCGAATCCCATCGTAACTCTTGATTTATCTCAGGGCTGTTTTAATCTGATTTCTGTTAGCTGTTCATGAATTTGACAATTATTTATCAGAAGTTTCTTGTATTCTATCACTAAAAATGCACGTACATACGTATATAATTGGAATTTAAATCATCATTTTCATAGTTGGCCAGACAGCCCAATGCCTTCCTCTGAAGATTTACCCATAATGACTTCCGATTTATCTCTGATCTCCAATTCTTTTCATTAATTGCAAGAAAAGCAGACTCCACCCAGTCCGCTCATCTCAATCGTGGCTTTCCCCGCTTTGTGGTTCGGAATTTAAATAGTCAAATGTAAATTCTTATCAGCTTTTAAATGGTAGAATGTGAACTTTTATTGGCTTTTAAATGGTCAAATGTAAATTTCTATTTAATTAAATAGTCGAATGCAATTTTCATTTGGAAACGAATAATAACACCTCCAAAAAGTAAATAATAGAATCTCCTTTAAAAATATAAACTGTACAACTAATATATTGACTTCATATGGCTATTATTGATTTAAAAACCTTCATGGTTCTTGTATTTCAAACAAATGTTTTTTAAAATAGTATTAAAGTAAAAATATCAGATTTGATCTCATTTAGGTCGTGCACATGAAAAGCTTGGAACAATAAGGTAGGCGAAACTTTTTCCGAATGGAACATTTTGATTCTTTAGAATACTTCGTCTCTTTGTATTGTTTTCTGGTAGATACTTTACAAGTTTTAGAAATTTCCTTTAGATAAAAGCAATTACATGAAAATCATGCTTTTTTTGAAAACTGAAAACACAATTTCTGCACAATGTGAAAATGTGACTTATCATTATATACTGATACAAAACCTCCACACATAAATATTTGTATTTAAGAACAGCATAATGTAATTAAAAACTTTAATTCTGTCCGCATGTTATGCTTTGTGACATACTTATTTTTAATTAATAGGAATGTATAAAATGATATAATGCTTCAACATTTTCACACTTTTCTATAAATCCTGACATCAATTTTACCACCTGCAGGAAAAAAAAATCAACTCAATGTTCTCAAATAATTGTTCTGCTTGTAGTGGTCAATTAACTCCAACCCCCCTTATAATCTCATTTCGCTGAGTTGAAAGCTCATCAATAGCTTCCGGTGACGTCACAGAAAAGGCGTGGCCGAGACTGTAAACAAGCCCGCTGCCCAGGCAACGACCCCCTAAAAGAATCCTCAGTTTGTAGATTCTCTTAAAATGTTTTAGCGAAATATCATCCCCTTGATGGTGGACACCACGTGTTTTCATTTAATAGTGTACGCGGTAGCTGTTATCGGACAATGATGCGAAAGTATTATACAATACCTCTTTCCAGTAAGTTTCATTTTTTCATGATTTCCTTTTATTTAAAAAAATAATTTTCACGGTCAGAATTTTTTTTTTTAATCAACACTAAACATACCAACACTTAATCTATATCTGTTTCTACCATTGCCGGTCAAATAACCGAACTTTGTTTCTTGATCGAATGTAAGAAATATAGATGTTAGAAAGGAAATAAACTAAAAACTTTTTATTATAATTTAACGAAATTCTATGCCAATTTTTATGTATTACAAACACAAAGAATAAGAATTTTTTTTCATATACAGGGTGTTTCCATTATACATTTTCAGCAAACATATTTCTTCTAATTATTATTATTTCTTATTAAGAATTTCTTATTATTATTTATTATTAAGAATTATAATTCTTATAATTATTCTTATCATTATATAAATATATAGGAATTATAATTCTTATCATTATCTAAATATATAGGAATTATAATTCTTATAATTAATATCATTTCTTCTAAGAACTTCTGCTGTCTTGATTGTTTCGACATTTTTCTGGGTAAAAACTAACAGTTAGTAAGAAATGATGTAAAGCTATCAAAATAAAATATAAGTTACTTGCCAAAACATTTAGTTTTTGTCACTTTTTCTGACACAAAATTGCCAATCTAAAATTTTAGGTGCTTTCTTGAAATTTGAATTCGCAGTTATTCTGATGTTATTCTCACTACGCAACATTTTTTGAAGAAATGTGCAACTCAGAATGCAATTCGTTGAACACGCATTGCATCATAATTTCTGATCCGATAACCTTATAAACCTTTTAAAAATTGTTCTCGCGGTATACGACAAGCATTATTCGAGAAAAAAAAATACAAAAAAAAAAAAATAAATAAATAAAATAAAAAAAAAATAAAAAAATTATAGAATATTAACTGTGCTTTATTTTTTTCCACGTTGATGTCAACTTCTTTCAATTTTTTTTTGTTGGGCAATCAAACGGATTTTTATGTTCTTTGTCCCACTTCTCCAGTCATTTGGCTGATTTAAAAAATGCTTATGTTTTCGGTCATTTAATTTTATTTCGTGTTCCATTATGTGTATGCTTTTTTTAACTTCAATTTCATAAAGGTTTCTAAAAAGATTTATTTAAGTTCATCGTTATATAATACCTATAATATGTATCGTAAAAAGTTTTCAAAAATTGAGATTTTTCAAGATTTATGTTGCTTATCTTTTAATGTTGCTTAACTAAAATTCCATCATTTTATAGTTAACAAAAATGCTCAAGCTTGAAAAGTGATGCAATACTCGAGAAAATCACATCTTTCATATCCTTATAAGTATTCGAAGAATTGTGAAAAGTTTTGAAAAGAAAACAAGAAAAAAAAAACTCTGTTTGGTGGATTTAAATTTAAATATTTAATTTTAAAATAATCCAACTTAAAAAGATGACAGGCGTAATTTTTGGAAAGTGTAGCATGATGTTTGTAAACAAATTGTTCCTTTTCCTTTATGTTTAATTTTTTAATAAAACATTTAGTTTTTATTAAAAAGCAACATTAACATTTAATTTAACATGCGAATTTGTTAAGTGAAATGGAATTACAAAGCTTAGTTGAAATGGATGATTGGAAAGAAATGATAATTAAATAAAAAATTTTAAGAATAATGAACTAGGGAATCCATTTATCTGTTCGAAAGTTTGTAGTAACGTTGTCTACAATTAAATATATATTTTTTAATTCTAGTCAACAAATGCTATTCAATATCCCATAAACAAAGCTGTTTTCAATATTTTTTTATTTAATTAATATTTTTTCTTATTTTTTTCTGGTATAACATTTTTATTCTACCCTATTCTTAAAAATTTCATGAAAGTTATCCTAAAAAGATGTCACAACTTCGCTTAAAAGTTTCATTCATTTATTTTTTTTAATTTTTTATTTTATAACCGTCGTTGAACAGCCGATCCAAATTTGGGTTCACGACTATTAATGTACAACTCCTTAGCCTTGTAATCTTGAACCCAATCCAGAAGATAAGAGAACTCCCGGATCGAGTATTGGGAGAAATTTTGCCTTCACGGAGGACATTTTGATGGAATAGAACCGCATTTGCGTTACATGGAGAGGAAAACCACGTAAACCGCCCACGGTTAGATCGACCACAAGGGGACTCTAACGCATGATCCGTATACCACTAAGGATATTTTACTTCAGCAGTGTGGTCGGTGGCAGCCGGGTGTGGAATCCGAATCGACCATCTATCGGTGGAATTCGATCCCGGTTCACCTCATTGGAAGGCGAACGCTCTATCTTCTGAGTCATGAAATATACACTAAGTGGTCACTTTATTATGACAACCCCTTCAAATTCACTTGATCACCCCCTTTTAGAACATCCTTGTTTCTCTTGGTATTAATTTGTGAGGGTTTTTATGGGTCATTTCAATAACATTTTCTAATTGTGTGTGTTAACGATGCCAAAGCGTTTTTTTTTAAAGAATTACACAAATGTTTAATGGAGATGAGATAGTATGGAGGGCCGGTCACAGTAAAACATCAAACAAATTCCTAGTAATCCCAGAAGTAGAGCAGGACCCGGTATCTTTGTGAAAATACCCCTCGGCATTGTGATAAATCATCAGTATAACAAAATTAGACAACTATGCATTCAAAGTAATGGCTTTAAAGTAAAGCGAGAAATTATTTTCTTTTCAATTCTACATTAGTTTAACAGTGGCTGGGATAACCTGGTTGGCAGAGAGCTGGTCTACCATTCGTAAGAACAGGAGTTCGTATCCAACCGTCCGAAGACCTCCCGTGTAGTTAAGTGTGACTGGTGCGCGTTAAATCTGCCAGGTCACAAAGTCCTCTATGTTCCTATAACAAATAATACTTCTGGGGGTGCAGGATTAGAGATTGATAGCTCTCTGGTTCAGGTTAAAATTACTATCTATAAATGAATGGATGTATGAATGGGTACACCCTGTAAACGGGTGTGATGTATGGGTAAGGCAGAAATAGAATTCTTGGCCGTAGATGGCGCAACTTTAAAACAAGAACAATTGCTATCATTGCCTTAATGGCCTGCGCAACAACATTAGTTCTCCAGTAGCAACTCTGTGACGCAATAGCTTATTTTCGTGAAACTTTAAGGATGATTAGCCACTCAGTGTTTATTCAAAAATAGAAAAGAGTAAAATTTAGTTTAAATATTTGAATTTGTTAAAAACATTTCTGCAGTTACAATCTAGCAAGGTCTATGGGGCTATCCATAATTCAAATGTGTCACACTCTTTTCTTTCTTTTTTTTCAATATTTTTAACATCTCCCTTTTGTCACAAAGAGTCATACTTCACTGTACTTCTTTTATCACATGCCACTCTATATTACATTAGCATTCTTATGAATATATATATAAAAAAAAAAATAGTAATGTATGGAGCTTGCAGTTCAGAAAAAAAGTACTACGTTACAGATCGTATTTCAAATTTTATTTTTAAATGCTTTTTTTTTTAATGACCTTTTTTTTGTGATCTTAGCATTAAAGACCGTAAACGATATCACATTTTTTTTTCTTTTTATTTGACCCCTCTTCGCGACAAAGTGTCACATTTTTGCAAACCCCCTATCCCCTTGTCATATGTCATTTTATATTATGTAAACAAAAATTATGTCTGAAGCTCAAAAACAAAACACATGCCGTTTAAAAACACGTCATATGTCGGCAGGATGCAAAGGTAATATATATATATNCCTATGATAAGTTTTTTTTTTTAAATTTAAAAAGCCAAAAAAAAAGGCGAATTTAAAAAATTTCAAAATGAAAAAGTAAAAAAATCGTTTCATTTGTTTCCTTTTTTTTTGCTGCTCCTTACTCCATTGTATTGATATGTTTTGCTTTGGCTCCATTAATACAATGTTAGAAAGCACAAATTTTTTCTTATATAATAATATGAGCTGATGATGAAATTATATCCTTTCCTTATTTTACTTTGTTTTCCATTTTTTTAAATGTAAATTTTTTTTAAAAAACATTTTTTAAATTTTACTTTAAAAACATTTTTTAAATTTTATTTCAAAAATTTTTTTTAAATTTTAAAAACATTTTTTAAATTTTATTTCAAAAAATTTTTTTAAATTTTAAAAACACTTTTTAAATTTTATTTTATAAATTTTATTAAAAAATCTTTAATACATTATATATATTTATCTTTTATTAATTATTTTTCAAAAATCTATAGACGGAAAATAAACTGACTATCTTTAATAACTTTTGATCTAATAAGCGGATCCTCACATTATAGGACTATTCTTAATAATTTAAAAGGTTAACCTGAAATATGCTAATTAGTTAGGACAGACCTTTTTTTTCAACGGATTCGGATTTCTGACGCTCAAAACATAGAGGGTAGATGTTATCTGGGAAATATGGTCACAATAGTTGGTCAGGAGAGAAATGTAAGCCTTTTTTAAAACTTTATTTCTCAGGAACTATTACCCCGATTTTGCTCCAATTTTGTATTTTGCCATGTAAAATTACATACTTTTAAATGATGTAGAAATTTGTATACTTTACAATTCAAAACTTTTCCGACTATTATTAAACAAAATTATAAAAAAATTATAAATGTTTACTAAATGTTATTTTTTGCATTGAATTATCTTCGGATAAAGAAATTTTATAATTGTGAGCAAAAATATTTCAATTCATTTAAAAAGTTCACGAGATATGACGAAATATTCAAAAAGTAAAATTAGCATTAAAAGGTCCAAACTTTGGACATCTCTCTCCTGAATAAACTATTGGGACCATGTTTCCTAGATTGTGGCTGCCTCTTATATTTTGAGGAGTCAGAAACTCGAATCAGTTGAAAAAAAGAGATAAGTCTATGCAGAGAAAATACGTTTTCTTGCCTGATTTCGTAACTGAAATTATCGTCTGCACAAATTGATTAGCATATTTGAAGTTACCACCTCGAACCATTGAGAGTCCCAGAACGCGAAGATCCGATTATTAGACCAAACGTTATTCAGGATGGTCTGCCTTTTATTTAGCATGCTGTGCATACTGGGTCAAACTATTCTTAGTAAGGCTGTTAGATTCACGAAAATGTAAGAGTAATTTTGACCTATGCAGCAAAAGTACGTTACAGTCCAATATTGCATCTAAAATACATAAAATACTTAGTTTGCTAATTATAAAAAATCTGAACAAAACTTTTTTAATGAATTTTTCTTTTAGCAAACGGAACTATCTGTTGTCAATTCTATTATTTTATTTATTTGTTTTATTTTTTTCATTTAGTTTCTTGATATTCTTAATAATTTGTTATACATTCTTTTTTTCTTTTTTTTCATGTTATGCCTCTTCTTGATTTACGGTTTGACACGAATTTTTGTCTTAATCCCTGATTTAATATGACGTGTCGAACCTCTTTTAATAGCCATTTTGTTAGAAAATGTTATGAGTAAATTAAAGAATGAGTAAAAAATAAACTAAAAGTATACTGTCTTTGAGTGTATAAATCTAGATACATGATAAATTAAACTTTTATTTTAGTTTATATTTATTTTAAACATTCATTTTGAAACGGCTGCGATATCATGTCCAAACATATCGCCTTGCGCAGCTAGTGGCTCTTCCTTAATATGAACTCTGTAAAAGAGCACAAAGAAACAGTTCATAACATGGAAGAGACCTAGTGGCGTATGACGACATTTTCGGGCATGAGTTCCTATGCATGTTCTTTTTAATGCGCATTTTAATGTGATGCTTATCAGTTAAAAAGAAGTATTAAACTCTCGGATGAACAGTTGGCAACTGGAAGTACGAAAGACCATGCCATTATTGACATCATTAAGAAAAACACGTATTTACCATATTAATCTTTTGTAAAGTCAGCTGTCGGCAGGGATAGCCTGGTTGGCAGGGTCCTGGACTGTTCGTGATCGCGGGGGTTTGAATCCAGCAGAACAAAGACTTCTCGTGTAGTAAATGGTGACTTGCGCACATTAAATCTGTCGGGTCACAATGTCCTCCCTGTTCCGATAATAATTCAATACCTCTGGGGGTACTGGATTGGAGATTGATTGTTCTGTTGTTCAGGACAAAATTACGATTTTTGGACAAATGAATGGATGTACGACTGGGTCCGTCCTATGAACGGGTGTGACGTATGGGTGTGGTATAAGTCGAATTCTTGGCCGTAGAAGGCGTCACTGGAAAAACACTATAAGGCATGGTTGTTTTTTTCATACAAGTTTAGCAGTTAATAAATCTCCTACTAATTGTCGAATATTATTTTTTGTATATTATAAGCTCTGTTCATTTCATTGCATATCTTCATAATTTTAAGTTTTTAATGATTAATTATTTTCTCACAGCGAAACAAAATAGAACGTAAAGTTTAACACTCTAAACAGACATTATTATCACTATTGTGAAGGAATCAACAATTTCAAAAATATTAATAAAACAATAAATTAATATTTTTTTTATAAATGTACTATTTCAAGTTTTAATTATGATTATATATATACATATAATACATTTTTTGAATTAAATATCAATCAAAAATTGATTTTGGGGTCACTAAACGACCCCGCATGGTTATCTATGAAGGTTAATTTTAGAGAATTAAAATTTCTCAAAGTACAATTATTTGTGCAAACATAACAAACAAAAAAAAAAAAAAAAANAAACAAAAAAAAATACTTGAGTGAAGTAGTTGAAACGCACATTGCATATATCGATTCTGTGAGGCAATTGAGAACATTGTTACATTAACTGTTTTTATTTTACTCTTACCGTTGCTAAGGTAATTATTACTCTTGGGTGAAATTTCAATGACTAGTAATTGCAAACCACTACAACGAAAACTTCGAACTAAATATTAATTGCAGCAAGTAAAATTATTTGGCAAAAATGAATTTCATTTTAGCCAGTCATAAATTTACTGATAATTGGAAGTCGAGACCTACTGTATCATCTCAAATTCCTTTTTGTGTGTTTTCTTTTTTACCTCTTTTAGAGGTTAACAACCAAGAAGAAATAATTTGACAATTAATTTAGAAGGAATATAATAATCTCGGTATGGGTTAAATATATAGTAATCTCAGTAATATATTAAAAATGTTAATTTCTCATTTTTCGGTAGTTATTTTTGTTCTGTTTATTAATGACGAAACATTAATTTGTTATAAATATTGCAAATGAAATGATCAAAACGCCGTTATTATTTTGTTAAACGGAATGTTTTTATTGATTGCTTTTAAGCTATATTTTTATAGTCCTTGTGAAAAAAATACAATAAAAAGTATACACATTAACTATGGCTAATAATTAATCAATTAAAGTGAGGGAAAAAAACCGTAATCAATATCTGTGGAATAACTACTGATTTGGTTGGGTCAAAATGAATAAGCACGGAAAATAGTTTGATTGCCTGATGAAACTAAAAAACGTTTATTATCACAATTCAATTTCTATTTTCTCTGTCAATCCAATAGTAATGTAGGTGGGACTAAAAAAAGTAAAAAAAGATTTTAATGCTTTTAATCCCAACTTTTGTTAATGGTTTGTCTGATTTCGATACCTCATTTTTCTTAGTTTAACTACTTACTTTTGATCCCTGATGTATTAACTTTTTTGATTTTACTATTGGGCAAGCATTTTACAAACATACAATTTAAAGAAGGACATGGTGCCGGGATAACCTGATTGGTAGGTTGGTAGACTCCCGTACGTGAGAACGGGAGTTCGAATCCAGGCGGCGGAAGACTTATCGTCAAATAAATGGTGACTGATGCAAGCTAAATCAGTCTGGTCACAAAGTCCTCCATGCTCCCATCACAAATTATACCTCTGGAGGGGGGTATTTGATTAGAGATTGATCGTTCTCAGGACAAAATTTTGATATTTGGATGAATGAATGTATATAGGAATGGGTCCGCCCTATAAACTGGTGTGACATATAGGTGTTGCAGAACTGGAATTCTTGGCCATAGATGGCGCCACTGGAAAACAAGAACAATCACACTCCCTATGCCTTAATGGACTACGACGACAACAACAACAAGGAAGGTCATTACAGCACACATTGCGCATACCTAGTTCCAAACAAGTGTTCAGTGGGTTACGGCATGAATGTATTGATTTTGTTTCACAATAAGAAGGTAAGAAAATTTCGTGGTATTCTTGGGGAACCTTTAATGTTTTATTCCTATTTAATTATACTCCACAAATGGAAATCAGGGAGAGGGAAAAATGAAACATTGTTAATAACTTTTGATTTAAGGACTGGATTTTCGCTGGAAAAAATATCTCTTATAAACGAATTATATGATTGAAGGGTTTGAGGCTATAAGCCACATTTTTTCTGAAAAATTGCATTTTTACTTCAAACTGTTCCTTGGTACTGTTTCAAGATAGGCTCTTTATAGTATCGAAATTATCACTAAATGAGAGAACATACCGACACAAAGTAGAGCCTTCTTGAAAATAGACTTTTATCAACAAAAAAAACTTTATGAAAGAAATGTTCGAAGAATAATATTTTTCCATTAAGTTGTTTCTTAGTCTTTTTTGTTTTATGATGCGTACTTTATAGTTTCTGAAATTTCCACTAAATAATAGGACGAATAATGACAGAAATAATTTATTGTTTGAATGAAAATAGTATTGCTTTTTTTCCGAAAAACGCTCTTATAAAAGCTTTATCATTATCATAGTTGACCTGACTGCCCAATGGGGGTCAATGCCTTTTTCTAAAGATTTCTCCATATCAACTTCCGATTTATCTTTGATCTCAAATTCTTTTCACTAATTGCACGAAAATCACACTCCACCGAATCCGCCCATCTCAACCGGGGTCTTCCCTGCTTTCTTGTTCCAGTGGGTCTAAAATGCAATATCTTTTTTATTGTATTGACATCACGCAAAAAAAGTTTAAAAGGTATAATTTTTGCATCTAACTGTTCCCTGCTATTATTTACAGATAGTGTACTTTATTGTTTCAGCAATTTCTACCAGGTAAATGAACATATCCGAAAAACAACTTATTTTTTGTATGAAAGCACTAATACTTTTTACCAAAACGTTCTTCTGAACAATTACTATACCCCAAAAAAATCAATTACGTGCAAACACTTTAAGACGTGCTTAAATAGTTCCAACATTATGGTGAAATACGCAAAAAGGAGAAATGGTTTAATAAGTTTAGATGATTCTTCTGACTAAACTATGTGATTGCTTATTATATTATGAGGGTCAAAAATGGAAATCTGGTGAAAAAAATTGCACATTTATTCAGATGTTTACTTAATTTTTTTGGTCATATTTTGTAACTTAAAATGTCATTTACACTAAATCATCAGCATAGTCAATAACAATGAGCCATTAAAATTGCGTCTTATTATATGAAAATCGGATCAATGTATTAAAAGTTGTTCAAGGTATTTCGTTTTCATTTTATTTATTCTGTGTATTGTTCATGATACTTTTATCACTCAGACATTACCTAACGTCTGCTTGACACATATACGTATATTAGGATAAATAAATAAATTTAAAAAAACTTTTGGAATAAAAAACTAAGATGCGTTTCTCATAAAAACATTATTTCGTAAATTGATTTTCACATAAATTGAACATTATTTTATAAATGTTAATAATGTTTGTTCATGAACTTTTTAAATACACACAGCAAATTCGCACAGTATAATGATACAAAGGACTTAGATTATATTCAAAGTTGGAATTGATTTTTAAAACGAATGATAGAGGATTGTTTCGTGAGAATTAAAAATACATCTTTGAATATATTGTCTCTTTTCAGCTTGTTTCAGCTATTTCGTGGAGATTAAGAGGTGATAATGGCGGCTGTGAGTGAAGATCCGATCACGCTATGGCTCAAATTGGGAGCTTTGGAAAAATTGGAACAGGTTGTGCTGGATGGCTACGGAGATCAGTTATACGGGAAGACTTCCAGAATCCCTCAAGTCAATAAGTTCTTAAGACAGGTTCCTATTTTTCAAGTAAGTTAATGCAATTCCATGCACCGTTCTGAATCTATATGAATCTGGAGAGATTATCGCGTTATTTAGTTTAAGTTTTTGTTTTGTTTTGCCCATTGGCAAAATGGGTCTTATTTTGAGTTTGATAGCGTGCACACTTTATTTGGATGTCAGCACACTTTTAAACTGTCTTCAAGAGTAATAGTAAACAGTGCGCATGAGTCGTCATTGCACGCGTTGCTATGGAGACCGTTGCTGTTTGATAATTTTTTTTTTAGAATTAATTTTTTATTTTCACCAGCAGTCATTCTTAATGTATTTCTATATTCATTTTATTATTGACTTACAATTACTGTCTTGACGGTGATTTTAATATAAATATGAATACTGTAAAAGGAAAAGTATTCTGTGACTTCTTGAAACACGTACATAGGCAGGATATGAAAACCAATCCGATGACAAACATCAATTGAGACAATTTTTGAAACCCATGATTTGAAATGTTGTGGCGTTTAACGGAGTCAAACCAGAAATGGATTTTGACCAATAGATAACCAGTGATCTTAATAAAGCGATTAAATTTTTTTCTTTTTTAATTTTTTTCTTTTGAATATAGGACATATAATAGTAAATAGTTTTGAAGATTTTATTTTAAGTATTTTTTCTTTATTCTTAATTTTATTTATTTTCTTATTTCATATTATTCTCTACTTTGTTTATTCCTTTAGTATTTTATGTATATTTTCTATATTGATAAGTATTTAATAAATGCTCAAACCACATCTTATTTTATCACCAGAATTCTGTATCCTTGAAATTGAAAACCAGATCTAGAAGAAAATAACTTCTTGATCAAGGAATGGGGTAAATGAGCCTGTTTTNCCGGTGCAATCCAGATGAGGAATTCGTATCGAACAGCCATCGCAGGAATTCGAACCCGGTTCGCCTCATTGGAAGGCGAACACCCTATCCCCTACACCCCATCGCGGCTCACCTTGGCAATAACTGGCAAAGTTTGCCTAAAAGACTTTTTATATATTTACGTTGCTTAACCATTCGGATGACGGGTCCATCACCCCAATCAAGCATGCTAAGGCCGGGATAGCCTGATTGGTATGGCACTGGGTCCATGTCCAAGATTTCGTGGGTTTGATCCCAGCCTGCCAAAGACTCCCCGTGCAGTAAATGGTGACTGATGCAAGTTGAATCTGTCGAGTCGCAAAATCCTCCATGTTCCCATCACAAATCAATACCTCTGGGGGTACTGATCCAGGAGTTTCCTTGTCTTCTGGATTGGTTCAAAATTACCAAGGCTACGGAGTTGAACATTAGTAGTCGTAAACCCAAATTTGGGTTGGCTGTTCAACTACGGTTATAATTATCGCCAAGGTGTTTTCTTTCTGGAGTTGGTTCTATTATTTGCGTCTCATTCTTAGATTATGGCAAAACAATTAGTATACTGTTCCCATGTTGTAGTGATCAGTTTGATAGATATCCCCAAAGTTAAAGGACCACGGGTGGGATAAAAATAAAATCAAGCATGTCGATTCTTTCCTATTGTGGTATTCGAAGCTGGCTAACCTCGTTCTATTCCCTGTGATCTATCCCATAAACCTCATCGACTCACATGGGACATTCCGTCACTAAGAGAACTCGCATCATGCGATGTTTTAACTTTTTTTGATTCTAATTTCTGAAATTATTCTATGAGTGGTCAACGCACTTTGAATTCACGGAAGCAAATGTCTCGATAAAACCAAACACAGCTTCCGACCTGAAAATGTGCGGCTTTCAGGATTGTTAGAAGAAAACGGTTCGCCCTACTTCCAAAAATTATCGCGTGAATTTACCCGCTGACTTAGTACTCCTCCCTCGCAGTTATTTATTTATTATTTTTTAAATGTAATGCTCGAGTGTTGCGTGATGCCAGGAACCCCACCTACCCTCAAGTCACGTGTTGCTTTGGTGGTGATTTATTCTTTATTAATCTGGAGAACAAAAGAGGGCTAGAATAAAGGCAACTTTCTTATTTGTTCGACTTTTGACTTGTGTGTGTGTTAATTTCATATTGTTATGCCACACTTGTTCAACTTGTGGAAAATCGATGTCCCTTCAGGAAAATATGAACGGCCGTCGTTCGGTTGCTCCTGCCGATTTTCTTCATTTAGCTGTGACCGCAACTTAAAGTAATGTGCTTACAGCATATTCTGGGAACAGATTATAAGCGAAATGCTGTCTACAAAGAAACGTGCTTTATATTTTTCCTCCGATTGGATGGGAGAGGAAGAAAAGGTAAAAATTTTATTCAATTATTTAATTTAGAGATCTTTTACTATCCTAATACAGTGAAACCCCGATATAGTGAACCTTCAAGGGACTGAAATTTGGGTTCACTATAACCGGGAGTTGTTCACTATATCCATACCTCAAACAATTTTAACTAATTGTTCCGAACTGCTCCCTTTTATGACACATTATTCAAATAAATGATCAATAAAATGAAATACAAAAATGACTAAAAAACAATAAGCAGTAACAAAAAATGTGTTAAATTTAATTTTTTATTACTCTTCGTCTTGCGTACAAAAAATTTAGGGATGGCCCTTATTTAGAGATGGGAAATTGAGATAGAAGAAGCAAACAAGAAAAAATGCTTACAGCTACATTCCCCTCTATAGATGATTTTAAAAATCGGTATATAAATCGGATATTTTAAAAATCGGTATAATCGGTAGAAATTTCAAAATTTCCAGAAAATGAAGAGAAAAATGAGTCGAAGATAGAAAAAAAGTTTAAAAATACCCAATTTCCTCTCTTATTTTGGTTCACTACGTCCTCAAAAAAATATATGTGTGAAGCAAGTCACGGGAGTGAACATTTCGTTCACTAAATCCGAGAGTTCACTATAAACCGTGTTCACTATAGCGCTGTTTGACTGTATAATGTCTCTAAAAAAACAACTTTTTTTATGTATGTATTCTGAATGGAGTATGATTAAAGTTTCTACTTAATTCTTTTTTAAAAAACACTGTTGTAAATACAAAACAATTCCTATATTTTCATGTGACAAAGGATTATAAAATTGATTAAAAAAATATTCTTGGTCCACAAACTTAAGTATAGTAGTACTACACAGTAAAAAAAGTTTAAGTGAAACGCATGCCAATTGATTTACAATTTTTAATGTAAATATTTTAATACAACTTCATATTGTGAACATTTAGCTAACAACTTCATATTGTTAACATATGTGTTCACAACATATTGTGAAGGTCAAAAATATCATCAATCGGGTCAGGTTCATACAATGTGATTTAATTTTTTCTAGAGCAAAATCGATGAGATTCACAAGGCTGTCAGCACTGGCAGTCTGCGCGATGTGCAGCACCTGATCGACCGCAAGAAGCTGGCCTTTTGTAGGGATCACCTAGGGGCCAGCCCCATGCACAAGGCCGTTCTCTTCTCTCAAAAACCAGTCATCGATTATCTACTCGACAGATATCCATCTGTGGTACATGCACGAGATCACGTAAGTCACTCTTTGCACCACTACTTTTTTTTTGCACACCACCATGCATGGAATCATGTCCCACAATAAAAGAGCGTGGAATAGTGGATGATGAATGAGCATTATAGAAATAAAAGTAATACACCATGAGTAATTAACATCTTCTTCCTTTTAAAGGATATTTTAGGTGTGAAATGTGGTTAAGCTAAGAAGTGGTTGGTGGTTTACTCCCAGCTACCAAAGCTCTTTAACCGTTCCAGTTGTATGTCTATTCTTTATCATTCTGATCTTACAGTATTGGCCATACAGAGCCATTCTGATCTTACAGTATTGAACTACAGTTCAATACTCAAACAACAACACCTAGTGAAAAGGCTGTTGCAGAATGATTCAGTGGCGAATGGATGCATTGAATAAAAAAACCATATTTAATAACAAATAAATTTAATAAACAATAAATGGTATGAAATACGGCTTTCCAATAAGCCATCCAGTTCAATCCATGATCAGCCACATAAGTGATTACAGAATTAGTATTGTGAGTGATTACAACGACCTCTTTTGGTCAGGCAGAAAATCCTAACAAAGGCTTCAGCATCTTTTACCGTGAACAAGAAAATTTAATCCTTTAGTAGTCCAAACGTAATGACACATTTCGTAATAACCACCACTGCGCAGCTTAGTAACTCGAACGTAGTGACCTTTTTGCTTATTTTTCATCCACTGCACAGTTTAAGTTCGTTACGTCGGACAACTAAATGGATCGGTGTTGAGGGCCAAATTTCTTCTAGGAGGTGTTGCCCCAAGTCGATGGGCTTTGAAACTATCTAATTCAAAGTGACATTTCACAAATTGGGTTTAAGTATATACTAGCGTTTTTTCTTTTTAAAAAAATAGTGATTTTTTTTCTTTATCTTACATATTATGTACGTACCATTATAAAATATTTCCTTACAGAGAAAATTTCATGCAAAAAATAATTTTGAATAATTATTTTTTAATTTTATTAATTCATTTGACAATAATCGATATAATTTTAAATTGTAAGGTATGCAAGCTTGAAGATTTATTTTGAAGAATGTTAATTTTAAATGACAAAAAAAAAGAAAATTTGAACGAAATCAATAGTGTAGTTCTCGAGAAAATTAAATTTTAAATATACGACTTTTTTTAAAACTTAATAGCTTAGAAACTGTTAGAACAATTTCATTCAAATTTTGAAATTAATTTTTCATTCAAATTTTGAGATTAATTTTTCATTCAAATTTTGAGATCAATTTGTCATTTAAAATTACATTCTTCAAAATAATATATAAGCCTATATACTTACAGTTCATTATTAAATAATTAAAAAATAATTTACTAATTATTTTTATATCCAATTATCTTTGAATACAGCGAATTTTTTTTTAATTAAGTGCATAAATTTTTTGACTATCCTGATAACTAGCAAAACACGTAGAAAAATATATTAGCATAGAGAGGTCCGAACCTTCGACTGCTCTCCTGCCTAAACTGTAGGGATCATATTTCCTAGATTGTGGGTTCCTAGATTTTAATTTCGGGCATTTATTTTGCTTTTTACTACGTTAAAGCACCATCTGATGGCGAAAATTTGAACTTATTTTTCGATGCAAACTTTCGACCGTAATCCAAATAATATATAATGTTTTATATCCAAATAATATGTGACGTATTGATCCGTTCAATAGAACCGAAGCTACGAGCTTCTAGGTACCATTAGTTTAATTTTAAACATTCTGTATTTTACTTAAAATCTTATTTACATAGATTTACATGCTCATCATCCAACGATAACCCAGCACCAAGCTCAGTTTTACCAGGCTCTATCTTTTAAGCAGGAATGCCACATAATTTTGAACCTCGAGACAGACGACGAGGATGCGCCTGAGCTGGTTTCCCTTTCTCCAAGCTTTCCCACCCCAATAGATTACAAGACTTCCAAATAGCACAGATTTTACATCTACCTTGCTGCGTACGAACACCGTTGTTTAGTCGGCTGTCGGGATCAAACTCGCTCACTGGTGAGTGAAGCTTTTACTGACTGCGCTACCGGAGTGCTCATTCATATTTACAAGAAAAAATGTGCTGCTTACATAAAAATATCATAATCATTTCAAAAATTTTCTGTGTACTTTCAGTATGTTGGAAAATCTGGAAGTGGCCCACATATTTTCTTTTCTTCCGAATTGCTCATTTCCCCCCCAAAAAGTGGCCACGCCTGATTTATGTTATTCATAAGGCATAGCATGTAATATTAACTAATATTTCCGATATGTATGTTAAGTAAATTTGAATGGGAAAGAAAACTTTTTTCATTGTTTTTTTCAGCGTGGACGAACTCCGCTGCATTACGCGGCAGTCCTCTCTGATGGAGGTGACATTTACAAGATGCTTCTCGATCACGGAGCAGACGTCAAAGCCACAGACGTCGTGAGTAGTTTTCTCTTTAGCTCGTTTGTTTACTGAGCCAAAAAAAAATCTTATTTAAAGAATAGGCACAAAAAAAAATTATGAATGCAAAATAATTTAAGGAAAATCTTACTTAAAAAAAGGGCATTAAATATTTACTCGTGAAAGAGAATTTACATATGGGAATTGAATTAAAAAATATTGGTGTTCAGGTCATCACATCACGTGGTGGATAAAATGAAAGCTGTCATGGCTTTCTATAGACGACGCAAGACAATTAGAAACTCTTCCGTTATCACTGTAAACATTTGCGTCACTCTTTGATGCTAAGAAAAAGGTTTAATCTGTTCTGTTACGAACGTAACAGATGCGTACAGAACGTAACAGAAAGATTCTTGGCAAGGAACAAAATCATCCTGTTCCTTGGAACCTACTTGGGCACTGTTATTTGCCATCCTGCAATGAAAAGGGTTTGAAACTTGAGTAAAAAAATATTGGTGTTCAGGTCATCACGTGGTTGATAAAATGAAAGCTGTCATGGCCTTCTATAGACGACGCAAGATAATTAGAAACTCTTCCGTTATCATTGTAAACATTTGCGTCACTCTTTGAAGCTTAGATAAAGGTTTAATCCGTTTTTTTACGAACGTAACAGATGCGTACAGAACGTAACAGAATTTTTTTTGCAAGGAACAAAATTAACCTCCATATTCAGTCATGAAAGAACAGGAGTGAGGCAAATATTTATGCTTTAATTATAAGGTTCGTGAACAGTTATTGCTCCGTAAAAAAAATCACTGTTATTTATTGAGATCAATCTAGAACACTACAATAGTTTGTGACCACTACATTTTACAGTAATATTTACCTATCAGGCAGCTAACTTCTAGAATAAACTGAATGGAGACATTAGTGAGGAATAAGTTTTGTCAAAAGTCACGTGATTTCAAGAAAATAGGGTTGTCATCAATAACCAAATATGCGCAAATCTGGAGCAAGTGCTTAAAGAATATAGAAATAAAAGAGCAAAATGATTTTTAACTAAGTCTAATTTAATTTAATAACTATTACTTTTATTACCAGATATTATTACCTGAGTGACCTCTTTTTATTAGAGCAGAATACTGATGAGTTACCAGGGGCCGCGAACAGATCCCACGTTGATCATTAAATTTTTGATAAGCATACCGTTATATAATAAATCAATTCGCTCAAACATTTAAGCTTATAGTAAAAAGTTCAGATATTCAAATAGAATGCTATTATGAATTAATGTAATTCAATGATGACTTTTTAAATTTTATCTTTAAAAAATAAAAATATTTTTATGGAGATGGGATGTATATCACACGAAACTCTCACTGTAATGAATTAACAGAGCGGGGGTTGGCTAAATGCAAATTCAGTGCAGACGACAATTCGCGTGATTCCCAAAAGAGAGAGCAAAGAAACGAAAAGGATTAATTTTAGAATGTTATTTCCATTAGCAAAATGGGTGCGGCTCACTTCTCATTTTTTTTCCTCTCTCGTTTTAAGTGGTCTCATATTATTGAGAAAGCTTATAGAGAACAAAATATGCATAAAAGCTCTCAGACACAATACATGGAGATTAGAATTATATATATATATATATTTTTGGTTATGTACTTTATTTCTTCATTTGCTGATTGTTGGGAAAAAATGTATAAAAAATAAACTGTGACGTTACTGTTCAACAATTACTTGCCAAAAATAACACCACAAAATGTGTATTACATAAGAAAGGACTGGTCAAAATAATTTTTTTTTTATTTTTATTTTATTTTAAATGATTATATTCATTAAAATTCATTCAATTATATTTCATGCTTTATATTTCGTCTACTGGCATCATAAGATGCAAGGTATGAAAATATGTATTAATCAAGGTGTATTATAATTAATACATGCATTTCTAGATAGCATATATTAAGATTAATGCATGCATTATAAATCAAAACTGCGAGAATAAAGCACATATAAATTCATTTTTGTTTTATTCACGTTGTTTTGCTTCATTATGCGTAGTACAATGTTTATCCTACCCTTATTTGCTTTGGATATATATATATATATATATTCGTGTAATAAGATTAATGCTTGCATTAATTAGTCAAGTATTAATTTGAATGTATGTCTTATAAGACATGATTAATTTGAATACATAACTTAGTTACGTATGTAATAATAGATTTAGATATGAAATATAATTGTCAATTTTTATATTCAAAAATCTAAAAGTCTAGTTCAATGTAAATCAAGTAACCCATCTTCTTTTATAAAATTCAAATCGTGAGTGTGTTATCTTAAAATCTGTTCAACGTTTTTCTTTATTAAGATGTTTTTATGACTCTATCGCCACATGGTATAAAGCTTTCTTTTTGCGAATAATATGCTCATAATTGATGCAACAGTTGTTTATGACTATTTATTCAAATTTAGCATATCCTCAACTAGCGATCTCTATACTAGCTCAGAAAAGCTAAACATCAAGAAAAACAACAATTTCGTAAAAAGGAAAAGTGTTTGTAAAAATTTTGAGAAAACTGGAAATGATTTACTGATTTTGATTATATAGGTGGAAATATTTCGGCTTTTTGTTAAAAAACTTAAATAGTAGAATACATAAGTTATTTATTTGTTCTAAAATCTAGCTAATTCTTTGATGCAAGATAGTATATTGTATATAGTTTAATATTATAGATTTACCTCAAGAGTTAGGTACTTAAATTGTGACTTTTTTTTATTTCCTTTGGCTAAAACGCTTCGAAATGCACTGCTAACATAAGTTATAATTTCTTTAAATAACAAGCCATAATTTTTATGGGCGATCGCCTTTCCTAATCTATAAAATAAAAAACTAATTTTTGATATTAACAGTTAACCGTATGATCCATATTTACAATAGCACCATGCAAAAAGATAAAAAATTAAAGCTTTTTTTTTTAAATATTTTTTCAAGAAAACTTTCCACTTATAAATAGAAATAGGATACGGTAAATATAGGGTACAGAAGTTTCCCATATTTTTTAATTTACGTACAATAAATAAAATTTAATGAACTAAATAAACTAGCATAACAGAAATACTAATCTGAACTAAAAAAACAGACCAATCTAATGATGGGTATTTTTGTATTTTCAGTACGGTAATCGTCCTGAGTACTACATGCACGCTCAGGATGAGATGGATCTGGAAGCCCTGAGAGAGGGTAACGACAAACCTCCACCGAAAGTCAACGAAAACATTGTAAAACACTTCCAGCACATGGGTGGAAATCAGGTGGAAGGACCACGCTCTGCAAGTAAAATAACCTTTTAATTAACTTCCTTGTCTGTTTATATATAATATATGTCAGCTTCAAACTGGTGCTTCCAATATTAAAAATGTTCCAAGTTCTACACATATAGAACATTCACTTAAAATAAATAATATTTATTTTATCTTACTGTTACATATTGACACCTTCATTTTTCAACCTATATGTTGTTCAAGAATATGATTAACTTAATTAGTAATTGATCTAGTGAGATTCGGAGCTATAAAAAGGAAAAAATAAAACGTATGGCAAGGAGAACGGCTAGACTTTTCACTCGAAAGGGAAAAACGAACAAGAAATGTTTTTCTTTCTTTTCTGATTGATGGAGGAGTATCTAAGTTGTGCTCCCATGTAAATGTGTTAGTAATGTTTACTTCACAATGCATCTTCAATGACAATAACAAACACATCAAAATTCTTAAAAAGCCAATTTAGTCTTTTTTTTTAAAATAAGAAATGTTGCAATCTTTTGACTTACAGTTATTAGTTTTGTAACACAGATTTTTTTTATTGAATCTTATTTCTAATTTATTATAATGAAACCTCTTATAAATCCCTAAGAGAGGGACTATTTTATGTTCTGTTTAATAATATGCATAAAATAGTTGATTGAATGGTGAACTAAAAGGATTTTTCATATTTCGTGTTGGCTGCTTTTTATTCATAAATAAGCGAAAAACTTTAGAATTAGTGACTTTATTGTTTTATAGCAATGTGACTCTATTGATTTAGGTCCCGTAGTGGACTGATAGTGAAGACTCGGTTTCCAGTGAAACACCGAAGTCAAGCATCAGTAGTTGCGGTCAATAAGCGGGTGGGTGACCGCTTTGTTCAACCTAGGTAGAGACCGAGGGTGCAAGGTATCGGTCCTCGTTAAATTGTTCTACCATAAAGCGCTCGACTTCCAGCGCAGGTCGTCGAGCTACCAAAGTAAAGGAAGCCATCACCTTTACAGAGGATATAAAATTGCGATGGCATGGCTTGGGATCATTCTCCGGGATGTTTCCCAGACCGTCGCCAATAGCCCATTGCAAAACTCTCATTCTAAATAAAGTACCTACCTATCTACTATTGATTTCGTTTAATTTTTTTTCTCCATTCTTGCAGAAGTTGTGGGTTCGAGAACGCAGATACGAGAGATGATTGTGAATGGCAGCCTCGAGCAACTGGAGGAACTCGTACTACAGGGTCACGGGGATCGATTGTTGGGAGAATCAGCAACAAATCCCATTGTAAAAGATTTCATCCGAATGGTTCCCGTCTACATGGTACGATCATTCCCTGGTCACAGCAATTAATATTTTTCTTATGAATCAAGAATAATTTATGTTTCGTATTCTAGGAAAGAATTTATGAGATCCACCGAGCAGTGACGAGAGGTCGCCTTCGCGATGTTCAAACTCTTCTGGACAGGAAGAAATTGGCACTGTCTCGGGATCCCTTGGGCGCGACACCCCTCCACAAAGCCGTCATGTATGGACACAAGGAAGTCGTCGAATACATCGCCACCAATTTCCCTCTCTCAAAAGACGCCAAGGACTTGGTGAGACATCGCTTTCTGTGTTCATTATTCCATCGCATCTTTGGTCACAGTATCTGACATTATTGTCCCTTTTCTGGGCATCGCAACACTAATTTATTTCTTCTTTAGTAATAAGTGGGATAAAAGTCTACTTAACGTTTTACTTCTTCTCATTAGACACTGATGAGTTATTCCTAGATTTTCATCTATAATGAAAACTATGTGGTGTGCTTATTTAAATTCGGAAAAATCCATGTTTCGACATTTGAAAAAAAAAGCCTACTTAACGTTCTACTTCTCATTAAAAATTGATGAGTTACTCCTATATTTCATTTATAATGATAAGTATCTGATCTGCCTATTTAAATTCGTAAGAATTCATATGTTTCGGCATTTGGAAAAGAAATACTATTTGCTAGAACTTTTACAATTTATAAGAATCAAATTATAATGCACCTGTGACATTAAGGCTTAAACTTATACATTCAATAAAATTTGGAACTTAGAGTCGTTGACATGTATAGCAATTGAGTTAATGGGTTGTGCGACCGGTAGCAGAAACCCTCCAGCGTGGCAACGGGCACTGCAGATTATTATTATCGCATTCGCAAACTTTTTTTCTAATCTAAATTTTACTTTTATTTTTATAAAGGAAACACACAAATAGTGGAAAACCTCCCTTTTAAAAATTTTCTTAACTTGTTTAGAATAAAAATTAAAAAGCTAAATTGAAAGAACGCCGACGAAACGTTATTTTTTACCCTTCGGTTACTTGATTAGACTTAATTGTATAGGTATTTATTTTATTCTATTTTGTAACCGTCGTTGCAGACGACCCAATTTTGAGTTTACAGCTATCGATGATCAACGCCGTACTCTTGTGATTTTGAACACGACTCAGAAGACAAGGGAGCTACTGTATCAAATATCGGGAGAAATTTGTCTTCGTGGAGGACTTTTTGATGGAACTAACCCGCATTTGCGTTACACGAAAGGGAAAACCACGTAAGCCTCTCACGGTTAGCCAGTGGGCAAGGGGACTCTAACCTATGATCCGTGCACCACTGATGTTATTTTACGTCATCACTGTGGTCGGTGCGAGCCACGTGCAAAATTCGAATCAACCAGGCATTCACCTCATTGGGAGTCGGGCACTTTATCCCCACCACTTTGCCACATGTATGTTAGATTATGCGGAATTTTGTACAAAAGTTAATCTCTGTCTAATTGGGTTGAGTACGCAGATAAGTATGGATTCCTGAAGATTATGGTGCAGATTCGCCCCCTAACTTCTATTATTGAGATTGTGAGTTAGAAAAAACTTTTTAGCTCAATGTTATACTTTGTAAAGTAAGGAATGACACTACTATACCTATAAAAATTAAAATAAATCGTAAAAATGAATTTTACAAAAATGTGTTAAAGGAATTTAATAGGATGAACCAGTCATAAATTAGAATTAGTGGCCAAACCGAATATTCCACATAAATAAGTATGCTTCAAGTTCAGGTACAAAATTGGTATTTTGTGAAAGACATTCTCTTTGTTGAAATGTATTTTCCTGTTGTAGGAAGGTCGTACACCTCTTCATTATGCTGCTGCTCTGAGAGACAATCACGAGATTTATAACCTGCTGGTTGCCTTAAGTGCCAATCCATTAGCTCTAGATTATGTAAGTGAATGCTTTAACATTTTTTTTTCTCACTGAAGCCACTGCTGAAAATCCATTCAAATTTCACTAGAAATCATCTCTGATGTCTTAAAAATGACTGATGATTCGAAAATGAATTTAGAGAAAGTCAAGTGAGATAAAAGTGTGTTATTTTCTGCGTTCTACTTTTTAAAAAAATTATTATTCTGATCAAGCTTCAAATTTAATTATAATTTCGCCGTTTATTTTAAAAGTATTGTTTGATAGATTTCCCTTTTAGCAGTCCCATTTGTAAACGAATATTTTTAATTAAATTTAAAACTTGATGAAAATGAATGACACAGTGCTATGAATACATGTAGAATGAATTAAATCCTCAGTCGCAAAAATAGTACATTTTTATATCATTCCGTTCTTTTTATTGATTACTACCCATTCTTCGCACTTGGTGAATAAAAAGAAGAAAAGAATCAATAAGTCAGTACAGAGAAACACAATGCAATCATGCTCAATTCTGAAAGGCATATACCGACACAATTAAAGAGATTGATGGAAGAACCAGGTGAATGACATTTTTAGGGGAATTAATGAATTAGAGAAAATAACAATATGGGTATGTTTAATGCAACATAACTGTTTTTGTTTCAATATCTTAACATAACTCATCCGTATTAGTTTTTAGTACCTCTGCATGATTTTTATTTCAAACTAGGCAGTGGTAAATAAATTAAAGCAAAGAATTATTAATCCCACTTTCTAATAAATTGGTAATAAAATGTCACTGACCTGGTTCTTTTCAATTAATATATCTAATAATTTCAATTTTTTAAAATTTAGTGTTACATGTTGTAATCTTCAGTGGATATAGGTTATTGAAGTAAGCGCAAAGCTCTTTGTTTGCAGTTCGTACCATTGGAATAAAGATAACATGCATTTAGCATTGCTTGGCATGATGCTATTGCTCACTGTCAATTCATGATAGTTAAAATTTACCACTAATAAGTGATTTTCTCACGTACACATCCATTTCGCGGAGCCGTAAAACACTTAATTCCAAAGTATCGTATTAAAACTGATTGGTGCAGTTTTAATAATCACCAAATATATCAGCATAATATTTTATACCTATATAAGTATAGTTGGTACTTATTGCATAACCCTTCAACACTTGAGTTTATATAGATTTGTCTGGCAGCCAAGTACAACCGATTTTTTTTTAAAATTAGAACTTCATATGGATTTTGGAGCATGATCATTTATTAATCTAACTTTTTATTTACTGTTAAAATATTTATAAATTGTGGAGGAAAAAAGTTCTTTCAATTCTAATTTATTAAAATATTAATACACTATCTTAGCTACCACTGGAAAAAATATTTTCTGAAACTACGGAAAACCCAATGTAGAATTCTTTACAAAACCAATTCAGTAATTACCATAATACCAGTAGTACATATTGCCGTCAGTGATACATGTGAATTAAGTGTCATGTGTGAATGGCGATTTTTTTTCTGTTTTCTTAAATGAATTTCCATTAATCTTTCTTCCACGAGCTTGGCTTTTTAAGCTTATAGCTTATTTTATTGTATTTTAGTTAATGCACATTATCAATAGTAATTGAATATTAGTGTCAGTAATATTATGCAGGTTTTTTATGGTTACCGACAGCGGGAATAAGTATCTTTTCTATTACTTTTGAGTTCAGAAGTTACTTTTTCTTATTTCAATTAATACATATTACCAACATTAATTAAGCATTAATGTCGTTAATGATAATAAGACGACTTCTTACTGTTCTTCTAGACAAATAAATACCTTTGTTCCATTTATTTTTCTTTCTAGTATATAGCTAATTTCTTTTATTTCAATATGCATATATTACCTTAATTAATTAAGCATTATTGGCGTAATTAAGCCTCAATGGTGTCGGATTTTTAAGTTTTTCCTAAGTGAACCAGTAGGGGAGAGTTGGACAAAACGGGATACCATTATTGTTTTTATTTACTACCGAATATCTGTTAAGGAAAACCATACATTATTTTTTTTGTAGCTACAACATTTATTGAAGCACACAAAAAACATATTTTCAACTAATTTTAATGACTGTGAAGTAGAAAAAAAAATTTATTTCCAAACTCTTACATATCCCGTTTTAGCATACCTGGGTTGGATAAAACGGGATAGGGTTTACAATGTTTAATTTTTTGCATATATATAAAGATAAAATAATAAATAATGCAAATATATAAATAATTGTTTATGTATAATAATTGTTTATGTATAAAAAAGTCTTCATCAGAGAAATACATTACAATTAGTTCTAAAGAAAGATGTGAAATCCTAGAGTCGAAAATAAAATGCTTAATAATGAACGTTAATAAACAAATTTTGCATTACTATATAAAGAGACTAAATTATTCAAAAAATATATATAGTTAATATAAATAAGTTGTTTAAAAAGCCTAGGCCTACATTAATATATGGCTATTTTAAAATGTAATAATCCAATAAATAAATAGGTGGATAAAACGGGACATGAAAAACTCTATCCCGTTTTATCCAACTCACAAGTGTCCCGTTTTGTCCGACTCCGTCACTTTTTGAAACAAACATGGTTGCTGCGTAAATGTGAAAAGAAAATTAGATAGACTGCACATAAAAATATTGGTAAATAAATGGTTAATTAAATTTAATACTCACCGGAATTTTATTCCCATATATGTACACAGTACAATGTAAAAAAACAACGCGCGTAAATGTAGAAAAGAGCAAAAAAAATAGAGTAAAAAAGTTCTGAGACTTATAACTTTCTATCAAATAGTGATCTCGAAGCGGGACGCACTGAGAATAAAATAATCACGGTCGAATAACACGTTTCTGTCGTTGTCCACTAGATAGCTTCAATAGTCTGGTCCCCAGGCGATGTATCCCGTTTTGTTCGACTCTCCCCTACCACTTTTCCATTAATTTTGCTTTTGAATACATTCTATTATATTCCATTACCGCTGGTTTTACCGCTGGTTGACGTAGACCACGTGTGCTACCAAGTAGTGTTCATTGAATTTATCTGACATTGCGAATATAAAATAGTTTATAGAATATATAATATAATAGAATATATAATAGTGCAATAAACTACTTTTTGATCGAATACGTCTATAAGCTATCAGTTATCGCTGATGTTATCTTTAAAATATGTGAAAAATTGAATCGTGAAATTTAAAAGTGGCTAACGCTTAACAATTCAAAAAATTCCATTTCGTTTTTCGCTCACCCCACTCGAGCGGTTTGAATGTTATAGTGTCGACAGTAACCTAACTCGCGACAGTAAAATAACTATCTGTATGCCAAATTTCATAGCTTTCGGTCAGATGGTTTAGGAGTCTATAAAGGACACACACAGACATTCATTTATATATATATATATATTTATCTATATATATATTCAAATCTTTGGTAATTTTTAGATCAGCTGAAAAAGGTGGTCATTAAAGTGTGAAATGCATAAAATCAAAATGAAATATTCTGATTTGAAAATGCGTTATGGTTTTTAAAATTAATATTCTTTTATTTCAAACAATAATAGGGAGAGACAGGAACATGAATATATTCTTGCTTCCTTGAAATCTATTGTGTTAATACAAGCTATCGGCATACACTCGAAATATGGCAGTAAAAGTACCAAACAGACAATGAAATAAGCGCGTTTAACTATTTAATTACAGCACGTCTAATAACGAGAATTACTGCATTTGTTAAAATAAGCACCTATAAATTGCTTAAAACTTGAAATCTTTATCCAAGATTGCTTCTCTCCAAATTAATGGATAAGTTTTTTTAGCTTGATTACTAACCTTTTCACCCCACATACAAACATACACTTCCAGAAAAAGTTAACCCTATGGAAAAATTTATAATAGACGCAAGCCTAAATTCTTCTGAATTCTATAAATTTTTTTCTACCAATACATTTGCATGCAATTCGTTTTGGAAACCTCTATTTGAATTTTGTTTCATTCTAACTATGATTTGTTTGTTTGTCTAGCGAGGCAAAACAGCTGAATATTACTTACAGTTTCCTGAGCATCTCCATCTGGAGCAAATGATTAAGCAGAGTCAGAGGACCAACGCCAACTACATGGCCAACAACGCCAGTCGACTTAAAGCAGCTTCTCCTAAAAGAAGTAAGAAGAAGGGTGATTCTCTAAATAACTGCATTTAATACGGATTTTTTTTAAATCCTTGTCAAAAAATACACAAATTAAGGGTCTTAAATTAACCAATAATAAGGAGAGGAAAAAATACAAGCGTTATCGAAATAACAAATCGGGGGAGAAGAACATGGAGCTGAAATGATCAAAACCTGTTTGATGGCTACAATGATTAGAGTAAAGGCCAGTATAGCCTAGTTGGTAGGGAACTGGGCCCATGTTCAATAGGTCGTGGGTTCGATCCACGCCAGACGAAAACTCCCAGGACGATCTCCACTGGGCTTCTTACCGTGACTCCCCGCGTAGTAAATGGTCACTGGTGCAAGTTAAATCTGTCTAGTCACAAAGTCCTCCATAACAAGTCCAACCTCTGGGGGTACTGATCCAGGAGTTATCTTGTCTTCTGAATTGGGTTCAAAATTACAAGGCTACAGAGTAGAACATTAGTAGTCGTAAGCTCAAAATAAAATGGGTCTGCTGTTCAACGTCGGTTATAAAATAAAGTAAAAAAAAATGAATAGATAAAGTTCCGCGATTTCTGAGGGGATAAAGCGTTCGCCTCCCAATGAGGTGAATCGGGTTCGAATCCCAGCGATGGCTGGTTGATGCAAATTCCGTATTCGGCTTGCACCAATCACAGTGCTGTCCTGAAATATCCTCAGTGGTAGACGGATGACGTCTCCTTGATGATGTTAGAGTCTCCTTGACATCAGGCTAACCGTGGGAGGTTCTCGTAGTCCTCCTCTCTATGTAACGCAAATGCGGGTTAGTTCAACCAAAAAGTCCTCCACGAAAGCAAATTTCTCCCAATACTTGATCCAAGAGTTCCCTTGCCTTCTGGATCGGGTTCAAAATTGCAAAGCATTGAGCATTAGAAGTCGCAAACCCCAAAATTGAGTCGGCTGTACAACGACGGCTTTAAAAAAAATCAAATGAATAGAGAAAAGTTGAAAGGCGATTCATAGAAACATTTCATCAAGCATTTTTCTGATTTCAATATCCCTCATTCCGACTTCCTTACTAGTATATCGGTAGATTTCTGTTTAGTTGCTGTTTATTCTGGTATTATCAGACCTTATTCTGCAATCCCTAATGTGTATTTTTATTTCACTTTTGACAAGTATTGTGGAAATAGATATTGAGGGCAGTAATTACGTAGTACCTTCTATGACTCTTTTAGCAATGAACTCAATAAAAAAACAAGCGTAAAAAATGTTTATAGTGTCACAGAAAGGAAGCTTTATAACAATGATAGCGACTATATACGTTGCAGAATGATTCAGTGGCGATTGAGTGCATTGAATAAATAAATCATATTTAATAACAAGCAAATTTAATAAACAATAAATGGTACGAAATAGGGCTCACCAATAAGCTACCCAGTTTAATCCATTGCCTGCCACATAAGTGATTACAGAGTTATTGTGAGTGATTACAACGCATTCTTTTGGTCAGGCAGAAACTCGTAACACTATATAAACATTTCATATCCCTTTTTTCATTTGCGTGTTTATGTAAGGAACTGTACAATAATAAAATATCACCATTTTTTAAATATATTTATGTTTTTAAGATGTTAGTGAATGTTGATTTCAAAATTTAAGTATAAAATGGTACACTTTTTTTGAAGAAATTCCTCTAATTTAAAAGATCTTTTATAAATCAAAAGTTATTATTTGAGCTCTCAGAAATACTTTCTTTTCATTAGTTTTCTAAAGCAGTTTTATTTTTGATTTAAATTCTAAAAAATGCAGAAACTAAAAAAAATTTTCAGCATCAACACTTCTTATTTATTTATTTAAAATAAAAATTTTCGAACAAGGAAAATTTTAACTTCTTAAATTAAGTCATTTCTAAGAGTTCAAGTAACACTTTTCGTGTAAAGGGGCGACTAAAAACGCATATAAAAATATTTACAAATAATTTTTGTTAATAACCTTAAAAAAATCGTTTTTTTTATTTTAATTTTTGGATAATTTTATTTTTTATTCAAAGAATAAAGACCTAAAATACGTTTTGTTCCTTTAAAAGGCAACATATGAATAAATTGCCGATTTTCTAGAAATAAACATTCTTAAATTATAAACTTTCTGTGGATACTGCATGCATAATGTCTGAAATAATTAACGATATAAACGAGAAATTTAAATATGCAATCTGCAAACAGTTGTAGTAATATGAGTTTTTCTAAATGTTATGATTTTTATTCTACTGTCAGAGTCTCCATATCCAGCAAGAGCATCTGTTGCGTTGGATGTCAATGGAAATATAAATTCAATAAATGATGAGGTAATTACAATTCTAATTCATATTTTCATGCATGATACAAATTATAATAAAGCGATTTAATATACTTTGAGGGAAAAAAACATTCGAAAATCGATAAACGTGATCTGTTGATAAAAAAAATATAGTTAAAAATATATAGAGTAAACATGGAAAATAATAAAGATTAAAGAAAAGAGAAACATTAATTAAAATAAAGTATTTAAAAAAGTTATTTTAAAAAAATATAGAAAAGCAGGAAAACAAAATAAAGAAAAGATGTACCTATTCTTCATCTACTCACACGATTATATACACAAAAAGGGGTGCTTTCTAATATTGTATCAATATAGCTAAAGTAAAAATACATTAGTGTGAGGAGCACGGAACAGTTATAATAAGATGGTAAAGTAGTAAAATGGAAATAGGGTAAAATGGTAAAGTTGGTAAAAATGGGCAAGTGGTCCAGATAAAAGGGAGTTTGACAAGGCTACAATCAATAACAAGATTAAATAAGCATATATTTATATTATCTCTTAAATTGACGATCACTTTTTATTATAACACAAGTTTCAAAAGATTTCTTTACCGCCAAAAATTATAAAATATTCGCAAATTGTCCACATCTAAGTTATCGATGTATATTTAATATATATATATATCTACTAGGGGGCAAAGCCCCCTGTTCGCTACCGCTCACCAACCCCGATGATTGCTTTGCAATAATTGTTTTTTCTTGCCAGAAANAAACCATTAGTCAGACCAGCTGACATAATATGTAAAACCAATTTTAAAAAATGGTAAAGCATTTAAAATCTGCAACAGGATAAAAGTAAACACACTCCGAAGGCAAAAACGCCCAGGTGTGCCGAAGAACAGTATAAAATCTGAGGTACATGACTAAAAAGACATTACAATAAAACAGGAGTAAAAAAAAAAAGCAAAAATACAGTTTAAAACAAACAAAACCTGTAAACATGACAAAGCAGACTAAAAACAAGACAGTTATAATAAGATGGTAAAGTAGTAAAATTGAAAAAGGGTAAAATGGTAAAGTTGGTAAAAATGGGCAAGTGGTCCAGATAAAAGGGAGTTTGGCAAGGCGACAATCAATAACAAGATTAAAAGACATTAAAAGTTGTTATTATTATTTTGGACCAACACCTCCTCGAGCGTAGTTTTAATAATTTGTTTAATGATATTACGGCAAATGATACTGGCAAAAATTTGATGCTCGTTCTTCTCGAGGAAGTGTTNCACCATCATTAGAATTTTATATATAGTAAGATATACAATATCTGATCTAAACGTATCTTGTTCCGGACTAAATTAACCTTTTTTTGAAAATTGCATAGATATATATTCAAAATGTGTTATAACAATTCCATAAAATCGAAACGTTTAATTTGAGCTAAATCTTAATGTTTCTTTTCCGTATCTAGACCAAAGAAATTAACAATGTGGAGAAAAGTACTGCCTTCAAAATGCCGAAGAAAGCTCTTTTTAGAAGTCAACCTTTGTTACCACCACCCAAGTTGAAAAGTAATTTTATATCTCTCACATTACAAAGGGGTGTCATTATTTAAATAAGGAATCGTAACCTCTACATGTTTGCCTATTTTTTAGGCAATTTTCCAAAAATTATTTATATTTGTAATTTGAAAGGGATTTGTTATTTGTATAGGACTGGAAATCAACTCAGCCAACATCAAACGGTGGGTGCGTGAGGAAGATTTAGAGAAGCTGGAAGATGCAGTGTTAGAAGGGTTTGGAGAAAAGGTGGCCCTTCAGAAGAGTGAAAGTGAGAAATTGCAGAAGTACATCAACGACCAGGTTCCCTTGTTGGTGAGGAAGATCGAGGCCATCCACATCGCCGTCACAAACGACGACATCACGGAGCTTCAGAACCACTTACAGGACACCGACCACATGGTCCTTGCGAAAGATCACTTCGGCATGGCTCCAATCCATCGGGCCGTCCTCATGAATAAGCGGGATACCCTCGCTTTTCTCATAGACAGGTGCGAGACAGTGTGTTTTGTATAATGTTATTTAAGATCATGATGTTTCATCACACCAAGAACCAAACGTTGTGCATGATATTTCATTACCCTACTTTGGTGTAAAGTAGTTGCGACCAATATTTGATGTTGAGACAAACTAAATATTTTTACAGTCAACAAATAGAAAAATTTTCTTCCAACTAGCAGTTTAACTCAATTTTGTCAAGTTAAAATATTTTAATGATTTTTATTAATTACCCATTCTTTTCCCACCCTCCCTCCAGAAGAAATAACTTAATCGATTGGATGTCATAAGGAACATTACTGTTGGAGAAAATAAACTGCTTATAACGTTTTAAAATATAGTAAAAAAGTGAAACTTAAAATTGTCTTTTTATGCAATCAAATATAATAATTGTTAGTTTTATTTTTACTCTTTCACTTTTTTCTTCACACGTATAATAATAAAATTTTAACCTTTTGCTTACGGTGCTTGGCAAGATGAAGCCATTCTGGTCCCCTTATTGTATCAGCCGTAAGCAAATAGGTTAAAATAAAAGTTTGTTTTCCTAGTTTTTTTTTAAATAAAATGCTTCCTTTTTCTTCTGTATAACCTAGGTTCCCAGAAACAGTAAATGCTCGTGACAAAGAAGGTCGTACCGCTCTCCATTATGCTGCCGCTATGTCCAGAGAGCCGAATGGAGCTTCTAACTATTTCAAGACCTTACTGGAAGCGGGGGCAGATCCCAGAATTCGTGACAACCAGGGTCGCTCTCCCGAATACTACAGAACTCACCAAGTCCCCATACCACACAAATTGAACCTACAACAAAAGAAGAAACTCAGGAGTAAATCGGAACCTCCACTGCACAAGGCAAAAAAACTTCCCGGTAGTTATTATTGAAATATTGATCATTTGATTATATGTTCTTTAAAGTATCAATCATTTAATTGTGTAAGTTTGAAGTATCGAGCATTCAATGGGATACCTGCAAGTGACGCAGTGTGGATATCTTGATCCTGATTGGTTGTTGAAACGTGTCATTTGTTTACTTTAGCAACTGTTTTCCTATATTCTATTTCGGGTAAACCAAGCTGGGCAAGTATCAATTTTCTTAAATGACACATTCTAAATTCTTTTGCAAAGATTTCCCTATATATTTACCCAGAGACTTAACACAAAGACTGGCGCGAAGCCATGTGGAACATAAACCTACCAATTATGCATCGAAATTGCCAGGTACATAAAACAAAAATATGTCTAGGATGCAGTAGAAATTCATAAACAAATAACAGATCTAAGTTGAGTAAAAGATGTAGACGAGAAAGAATTATATTTCAACTAATTCGATGTGCAATATGGCTCTGTATTTAACTTATCGTTAATTAACTTTCTAACTTATGAAGAGAAACTTAGATATGTCATTTTGCTGATAGAGATTTGCTGGCTCTAACGTCATAGGTCACGTGTGGGTATGGGAGGTCTTCTTCTTGAAGTGCAAGTACCCAATTGTGCATTTTAAAAATATCGCTAACTGTTTTAAGTATTATTAATTTTCGAAGTGTTTTTTGTTTCTTCAGGAATCAATGGTGGAGGTCTTCCCCAGGTGACAATGGACAAGATAACCGGATGGTTTCAAAGTGGAGATGTGGACAGTATCCGAGAGTTTGTGAGTGATGGATACGGGCAACATCTGGTTGGAAAAACTTCCTGGAATGAGGACGTAAGGCAGTACATCAAAACTCTACCCTCCCATCTGGTAAATATTATATCGCCTTAAGAACAACTTTTTTAGCTCCAATATCGAAGTAAATGAATGCTGGCAAAAGAGTTTAGGGTGTTACCTACTACCTGAAGTTACCTAAAGTTACCTAGTAAAATTTTATGGATGACAAAAAGAATAAGCTTTTGAAAGAAAAGTTCTTTTTCAGAGAGAAAATTTCGTTCTTAAAATAAAGCTTATTCTTTTTCTATGTCGCCATTCAAGGAAAACTAAACTTAATACAAAATGAGAATTTCACTTTTTCCATCAGTTCCTCTTCAAACTCTTTTCTTTTTTTTAGAAAACAGAACATTTATTTTTGAAAATAAAGCTTATTCTTTTTCTATGTCATCAATAGGGTCCGGAAAGAGCACAAAATCTTTATGCTCATTCCGGACTGAAGAGGCATAAGTAAGAAATTGATTTTGAGATCTGCCACAAATCACCGCGGCAGGGCTGATAAATGAAAAAAATGGTTTTAGTGTTCAGGAAAATATGCTAAAATTTAGAATTATTTATTGATTTTATATTTCATCCAAAGAAAATGTCTTGACAAATTTGCGTTTTATTTATTTATTTAAAGTTAAAACTTTTTTTTAAAAAAAATAATGAAAACATATATTTACCTAATCAGTAAATTTTTCAATATATTAAAACTTTAGTTCAATAAATATTCTTTGAGATCGAAATAACATGATCTTAAATCTTTAATCTAAGTTTAAGGCATTCAAACAAATTGCGACCCTTTTGCTTGGTGAACCTACTGTGAAAAATTAACGCATTGTTCTATTTGTGTGTTTGAATAGTTGAGCGTGGGATCTGCTTTCCATGCTGTGGAGAGGGGTGATAGAGAGTCTCTGGAGAAGCAACTCCAACACGATGACTCACTCCTCCGTACCAGGAACAGTGATGGAGTCGCACTCATCCACTCAGCAGTCCTCCATGATCAACTCAACATCATCAATTATTTCCTCGATAAATATCCTCAACTACTCAATCTCAAAGACCGGGTGAGACACTCAATTAACTTTTTTCAACATTCTTAATCCGTAAGTTTGGCACATTTATAAGAAATGCGGACGATTTCTTATAAATATGCCAAAAACGTTAACTAATCATCGTTTTAAACATATGGAATATTTTATTAAAGGTATCTATACTAACCCTGTGACATGGGTCGGGATAGCCTGGTTGGTAGGGCACTGGACCCATGTGTAAAATATCGTGGGTTCGATCCCTACCGGCCGAAGACTTTCCGTGTAGTAATGACTGATGCATGTTAAATCTGTCGAGTCACAAAATCCTCCATGCTCCCATAACAAATCAATACCTCTGGGGGTACTGATCCAGGAGTTTCTTTGTCTTCCTGATTGGTTCAAAATTACAAGGTAAAGGAGTTGAACATTTGCAGTCGTAAGCCCAAGATAAGGTCGGCTGTTCAACGACGGTTATAAAATAAAATAACCCTATGATACGAGCCGTAGTGGCTCAGGGGATAGAAATTTTGCCTTTCAATGAGGTGAACCGGGTTCGAATCTCGGGAATGGCTGGTCGATGCGAAATCCACACCCAGCTCGCTCCGACCACAGTACTAACGTAACAATATTCTCATTGGTAGACGGATCATTCGTTAGAGTCCCCTTGTCGTCGGGGCTAACCGTGGGAGGTTTTCATGGTTTTCCTATACCTGTAACTCACATGCTGGTTAGGTCCATCAAAAAGTCCTCTATGGAGGCAGATTTCTTCCAATACTTCATCCAGGAGTTTCCTTGTCCTTTGGATTGGCTTCAAAATTACAAGATTACGGAGATGAATTTTAGCTGTCGTGAACCCAAAGAATTGTTCGACTGTACAACGACGGTTATATATATATATAACCCTATGACTTGGGGATAGAAAGCAGTAGTTATAAAATTAATTACTTAATTTATAGTCATTTAAGTTTTTGTTAGGCTCCTTCTATAATCATAAATAAACAATATTTCGAATAAAAATCTTAAAGCGTTAGTTTTTTCGAACTTATCAATTGTACAAAAAATAAACGTAATTTAATAGATAAGAGCCAAAATAATGAGAGATTTTTTAAAAAAAATAAATTCAGTACTTTACGTAATCAATCCATACTGGTAAATAAGTACCCAAATAAGTGATGATGCAGTAATTTAGTTAAAAAGGAAATGCCCAAACAAGTGATGCTTTAACTCACAGAAAGCTTTATTTGTGTACCGATATGTTGACAGTGGATCCACAACTATACCTTTGAGAAATCATTTTTTTGTTTAGAGTGAATAACTGGTTCATTAAAGAATGACAATTTAAAATTAATGTTGTAATAATATATTTATTTTTCCCTCTATATTGTATTCTTTTTCGTATTTAATTGTCGTTAATTATCTATAGAGGTGTAAAAAGCACTATCCATTCTAATGTACGCAACCTTTATAAAAAGGTTTTGACACTTGTTCAGGTAAATTTTGTGTAACACATGATCACAATTTTTCCATTCTGTAATATGTTACCACCATTTACCAGTCTTTGAACGGCTGGATTCAAACTCCCGTTCAGACAACTATGAGTCCAGCGCCCTGACAACCCGGCCTCTCTTTCTCTCTTTAAAACTTCTCTTATAATTATTGTTTGTTTTTCAGATGGGTCGGACGCCCCTTCACGTAGCCGGACAACAAAGGAATCAATATCTCTATTCTGTGTTGGCCGCTGCAGGAGCTGATCCAATGATCTTGGATCAGGTAACTTTATAAAATATCATTTTTGTTTGCATATTTTATAATACATAATGTGTGCTCTTTTTGGAGCAAAAACAGAAACAATTTATTTTTGTGTTTTTTGTACCTACTTATTACGCTGAGTTTGGTATTAACAGTTTTTCTTTCTTTCTCTAAAGTGCTTAAACTCGTTATTTAATTTCACGACAATAAATTTTGTGTACCTAGATAAAGTCAAATTAGTTTATTCATTTCATATTAGAAAAAGAAATTTAAGCTAGAAACATCGAGAAGTTTCATAATCTTCTCAGGAGGATTGTCTTTTTTTTGATAAACATGGGTTCCACAACAAGTACGTGCCTATTGATTTTTCCTCTTTTTCTTAGTTTCATCAATCTTCATCTCCCATTATATTTATTTCACACTATGATTTTGTTATTTAGAGAATGTTTTATCACAAGTTTTAGTTTAATTGACCCAGCATAACCACCTTCTGCTTTTTTTTAAAATTAAATTATACATTAAACCCAGTCCATTGCAGAGAGATTCCATGCTCCATCACTAGCACACAACTAACTTACACGTTGTTCTTGAATTAAGTTCAAAAAAGAAAAAAATGCGTTCTAAAAATGTAACGCATTTAATTCTGTGACATTATTTAACTAAAATTGTCAGAAGCGAATAAAAAGGAAGTAACAGCACCATAGAAGTTCAAAATTATCAAAAAATTAGATTTTTTAGACTTTGTGAAAATTGAAATTAAGGATTTTATCTTTAAAGTGGAAAGAAAAAAATTATACGAAGGTGACTGTTTTTTTGAAAAATTGTAGGAAAGTTTTAAAATCGAAATAGAGACTAGAAAAATACTTTCTCGTCAACCTAATATGCTTTATTCTCAAAATGGTTTTTTCTGCAATTTTTGTATACTTTAAACTGATCCTCGCACCACAAGTTTTTATTAAAAAATTTGGCAAATTGGTCTTAAACAAGTGTCCTAATCTTCTCAAGCATGTGTTTCATAATGCATAATCCAAAACTGAGTAACGTGTGCTAAGAAAAGTAAAATAACTAAAATTTAATGAAATGAACGCTGAAATTTTGATGGAAAAAAACCCCAAGAAACAGATTTTAAAATCCATTATTCATTAATTCATATTAGTTTTACATAAAAATTAATAAAGATCAAGAAAGTTAAAATTTTGAATGAATCAAGAAAGTTAAAAAAATTAACGTAGACTAGATAGGGTAAACCAATCAGTGAAGGAACATTTCATATATATTTTTTAAAAATAAGAATTTGAAAGTTTTTCTTTAGATTGATAGGTAACAATAGCTTACTGCCAAACAATAGGAAGTCATATAGCAATGTTTTGGATTACCTGGTCAAATAGACTTCTCTGGAAAAATTTTTGAATTTGTTATTATCTCTGCAACACCTTGTTTCTTTGAAAAAATTATAAGGTGAGTGTTTATATTTATATGTTTGAAGTGGAATTAATTGCATGTAATAGTTTTATTTTTGTCACTGTGAAAAGGAGAATTCAAAATATAGTTATTGAAGTTACGTTTTATTTTTTTAAAGCATCATAGCATAATAAAGTACTGAAGTACTTTATTCACTGGATCACCAAACGATGAAAAACCAGTAAAGGAACAAGTGTTCCTTTACTGGGTTTTTTTCTAAGTTAATGAAAATAAAAGATAAATTTTATTTTACTTGTACCTTTAGTGATGTTCCGCCTCAAATGTATGTTAAAAATACGAAAAACAACTTCTAATCAATGAGGGAGCAGGCATGTTCCTTTACTGAGCATAGATTTCTCAGTGAATGAACAGTATGTGTTAATATGTTGACGCTTTAATTTTCAATTCATGATTACAAAAAAAAAGTTAACATTTTCCAAGTATTTATATGTTATAATTTCAAGAATAGGCATGTTTTTAAATATTTGTATGGCTTATAAATTCATAAAGGGCATTAAAAAATAAACAAAATTAAGTGTTCCTTTACTGGGTGTTCATTCACTGGTAAGAGCCGTTCCTTCGCTTGGTCTTCCTACTACTTGTTATTTGAACCTCCAAAACTTTAAAACAATATTATGTAAGTTCTCTACAATTTTTTTACATAATTTGCTATTAGTAACAAATATGTTGACTCTGTCATTTAACTAAACTTACGAATTTTGAACTTAATATGATTTTGTAAAAGGCTAGCCAAGCTTAAGTGTTCCTTCACTGGTTAGCTTACCCTATTTAATTTTTTTCAAAACTGATTTGTAAATTTATTGCAAATTAAGTGTCAAATTTAATTTTTTTTTTAAATGATTTTTATATTTCATTTATGATAATTCCAAAATATGATGATAATAAATAAATGTTTAAATATTTAAGAATTTCGAGAAATTTAGATATCAACGTAAACTCTCTTCTCAATCATTTATAAAATGCTATCGTATTTTGTAATATTTATGACAAAATTATCGCTATGCAAATATTAAACGATAAGATAATTAGCAATCACCATAATATTCCAAACCAGAAATCTTCAAATGAACAGCATGGAAAATGTAGGTAAAAAGCACGTTACTTATGAGTAATAAATTTAAAAAAGAAACAAAGATATACATCATGGGTCAAATCATGGGTTGCAAAAACTGTCTCCATGGATGTTTGTCGTCGGACTTGATTTTCATATCCTGCCTATATGTACGTGTTTCAAGACGTCACAAAATACTTTTCCTTCTTCAGTATTCATATTTATATTGGAATCACCGTCAAGACAGTCATTATACGTTAATAATTAAAAATAATTTAAATTATAATCACGAAAATGCATTGAGAATGACTGCTAGTGAAAAGAAAAACAGCAGCGGTAGCCATAGCAACGCATGCAGTGACGACGCATGCGCACTGTTTACCATTGCTATTGAACACAGCTGAAATGTGTGTGGACGCTATCAGATCCAAACCAAGACCCATTTTTCCATTGGGTAAAAATTTTGCATTGATGACTCATTACAATACGGAATTTATTATGAATTTTTTTGAAATTTTTTTTAGAAAGGAAGAACAGCAGAATTTTACATGAATTCAACGAATAAGATTACCAACAAGCCAACACACATCTCACCCACTTCATCATCGCCAGAAAATGACTCTTCTGACGTGAAAAGCCCAGAAGACGATCAGCCTCCCGTCAAGGAAAAAGAGGAGGAAGAGGAAGTGATTGTGGACGACAAGGAAGAGAAACAGCCGGAAGAGTTGTTACCAACTGAAGAGCACACAGAAGATATCCAAGTAAACACCTTCACTATTTTACAGTGGCACATAACATTCAATAAGTGGCACATAGGATTCAATGGTGCTATTGAACGTATGCTTTAACTAGAATTGGGTGACACACCAATGTTTCGTAAAATATTTTGAGGATGTTTCTCAAAATCATCATTCCCCACTTTTCACTTTCCTTCAACAGTCAAACAGATTATTTTTTTTTAAAATTAAATTTCGCTTTTTTTCCGTAGAAATTCATCAGACTTTCGTAATTTTTTTTCCAACTTACAGTCCCTGGCCAAATTATTAGACGCACTATAAGATTCCATGTAAAATTATAATTATCGGACGAAACCGGTTTGCATTTGTTTTCGCACCTGTATCAATTGTTTAACATTGCAATGCGATACGTTAAAAATAATAAGACAAATAGGAAGTATATGAAAAATCTCCTGAATAAAAATCCTTTAAGTGTATATTTAAATACAAAGGTATTGCTCCATTTGTTTCAGGAGGAGAAGAAGGAAGAAAATGAGGAGGAGAATGAGGAGGAAAAGGAAGAGGGAGAAATGGAGAAGGAAACAGGAAAAGAAGAGGAAGAGGAGATAGTAGGAATAGAAGAGAAGAAAGAGGAAGAAGCTGAAGAGCCAGATTCAGCTGAAAAGGATTTTGACTCACCTCCAGAGCAAGAAAAGAAAGGATCTTCCAGTTCAGGTATGTGATTGAGAGGGGCATTCTTAGTGGAGGGACGGGATAGCCTGGTTGGTAGGGCACTGGGCCCATGTCCAAGAGTTCGTGGGTTCGACCCCAGGCCGGCCGAAAACTCCCCGTGCAGTAAATAGTGGCGGATGCACGTTAAATCTGTCGAATCGCAAAGTCCTCCATGTTTCCATAACAAATCAATACCTCTGGGGATACTGATCCAGAAGTTTCCTTGTCTTCTGGGTGGGTTCAAAATTACGAGACTGTGGAGTTGAACATTAGTAGTCGTAAACCCAAAAATTGGTTCGGCTGTTCAATGACGGATATAATATAAAAAAATAAAATGGCTTTCTCATGGTACAAAAAAAAATCTAGTCAACGCTTTAAAATGAAAATTATAATTCCATATACGAAAAAATACCTCTAAAAAAAACTTGAGATAAATACGTATAGTAATTTATCCCTTAAGAAAAATAAATATTTTTATTATTAATCTATTATCATTTATTTGTTTTAATTTTCACACTGCAACATATGATGACGAATAAGGTAACTAAACAAATGTATGTAAATATAGTTCGTTCACCAGGAGTTGGCACTTGACTCCGCCTCCATCATGTGGTATCCGACGATACTATGTCGCTGTTTTTGGGAGAAGGATGTGAACAATTCTGAACAAGGTTGCTATTTGTCAATCGTATGACAAAAATATTTTTTTTCGCAATCTTTATGTGCATTTTTTTAACATTAACTATTTCATAAATTTGATGACACTTCTCTCTTTTGAGTGAATAATTTATCCTTTTTGAAACATTTTACTGCAATGTATTTAATTAGCAAGGGTAACGAAAGGTATAATAGCAGATGATAAAGCGAAGTAAGTGACTAAAAAAGAATTCATTGATTGCATTTGGAGCACATTAAGGGTTGTCTGAATTTCAAACGCGGAGACGTTTCTCCTCCCGCCCTGAAATGAACTCTTCGTCCGAGGAGGTGGAGTCAAGTGTGCCAACTCCTGGTGAACGAACTATACTTGTTTATGTACTTTAATTGTTGCTAACTAGTCTGTTTACAGAAAGAAAAAGAACAGCTCGTGGTACGAGCACATATAAGATATAAGCTCCGTAATAACGCATTTCCGTACGAAATATAGGTTCCGTAGAAACGCTTGTTAGAAAATTTATGGTAGACTGGGAAAAGGTTTCGCGCCGGCGACGATTCTTCAGTGCGACATCCTCGCATCAAAATGAACTCTCCGAAGGTGTATCGTTTTCTTGACGAAATAGACTGTAGTTTTCACCGATTGTGATTTTTCCTTTTCAGCTGATAGACTCAATGAACTAATCGATGTTTGGATTCGTGACAAGGATCTTCTCAGGTTGGAGCACGTGGTCATTGCTGGGCAGGGAGATAGACTCGTCGGACGTTCTTCCAGTGACCGTCAAGTCCAAGAATTTCTAGAGCTTGTCCCAACCTATATGGTTAGTAGACAATCTGTATATACCTCAGACACCAATTTATGACTTTTAAAATTTGAACATGCCATTCTCCTTCCTGTTATGGAAGAGTTGTTACTGTTGAAAAAGTGTGCCAATAAATTTGATAATTTATTTATTAATTAATTATTCTATTTATTACAATTCTATTTATTTAATCTATTTTACTTCGCAACGATCGATGCATCTATGCTATTTGGCGTAATGGTCCTAATGACCTGAGTCGCCGTACTTAAAGAACTAATTTGATTCACGCAAACACACATTTGTTCATATGGCAGTAATCTTTGCTTGTTCGTATGGTGATGACCATAAGGTAATACACCTTTCTGAGAGCTGTTTTTCCTTGAACGTTTGTGATAGCTTCAGATAGTATTTTTTTAACTTTAATTATTGATTACGATTATTTTACACATGACAATTATGTTTGGGTAGGGCCGAGATAGCCTGGTTGGTAGGGCACTGGGCCCATGTCCAAGAGGACATGGGTTCGATCACCGTCAGCTGAAGACTTCCCGTGTAGTAAATGGTGACTGGTGCAAGTTAAATCTGTCAAGTCACAAAGTCCTCCATGTTTGCATAACAAATCATGCCTCTGGGGGTACTGATCCAGGAGTTTCCTTGCCTCTTAGATTGATTCAAAATTACAAGGCTACGGAGATGAACATTAGTAGTCGCAAACCCAAAATTGGGTCGGCTGTTCAACGATGGTTATAAAATAAAATTATGTTTGTGTGATCAGCAATGTTCGAAAATAGTTATTTAGTAAAATATTATCAGGGAAATATAGTTAAGTTATCGAATTCAAACAGTTAGGACTAGGAGTTTTCAAAAAGGCTTGACGATGTCAGAGAAGTAGATTGCTGATCAAATGCCTCTATATTCTTTAACGCCCACTTTAGAATTGTTTTCACATTCACATTCTTCTATCCCTTCATTCTTACATCCTTCTCTCACATTCTTCTAGGAGCGTCTTCCAAATTTCTTCTTCTAAGTATTTGTTTTTCTTTGCAGGCGAGAATCCGGGGTGTCCACGAGGCCGTTATAAGGGGGAGCCTCGGAGAAGTGGAGTCGGTGTTGACGAGGAAAAGATTTGCCCTGAGCAGAGACCAGTTGGGAGCGAGTCCTCTTCACCTGGCTGTTCTGCACGGACACAGTGACATCGTCAAGTATATCATCGATAACTTCCCTGAAGCACTGGATGGACCCGACAATGTAATTTATTCATTGCATCTTCAATATCGATTCTAAAATTTATAAGTATTCAAGTGTCTTGTATTTGAGTCATAATAGAGTAATTGCGAAATGAGTCAAAAGTGAGAAATGACGGAAGTCCTAAAATTCACACAAGATGTAATTTTGATTAAGAATGCACGCGTGCACTCTTATGTTGAAATTTCTATTTTGCATAAATGTGAATGAATTCTTATCATAAAGAGTATACCATGTGAATAAATACGCACTTGATGACATAATCCTGAATAAAGAAAGATAAACTGGGAAAAAGGGTCTACGACGTTAAATCATATTGTCTGGGCGGCCAATTCTGATCACTAAAAAACTACTCTATCAGAGAATGATTTAAAATAGCTCAATAATAGAAACGCATAATATTTTCATGTAGTGTTGTATTTTTAACAAAATTGAAGTCTTTTATTATCTGTGGCCTTAAACACTTTTTTAAAATTCATTGCATCCAAAATAAACAAATTAAAAATAAAATGATAAATAAATAAATTTGAAAAGTACCTTTAACTTAACATTTTCATTGCGTGTAAATTTGCGAAAATGCGAGCCTTACTGTTCAAGGCGTATGTACTATTAATTCAATCGAAAAATATCAATAGTTACATTTTTAAGTTCAATTTTTAAGGTTTATTAAACTAGTACAAACCTACTACGTTTTTCATCAAAATCATTACTGTATAAAAATTTAAAGAGAAGGACTTGTTGTTCAAATTCTCTTAACAATTTAACTAAACCAATACACACGGACTTCTTTTTTAACGAACTTCCATTTTGCGAATTTTCTCTATTTTGCGATTTTTTTTTCTCGAGGAACCAAGAACATTTTGGAAATTTCTTCTTGGAAATGACTTCCAAATAGCGAAGTGAATTTTCTATTTAACGAACTTTTCTTTGAAATCCACTTTCCCTATTTCCCAAAATATTTCAGAACGCTTCAAACTTGTTAACGCATTTCATGGGGGAAATGACCTTGAATTGATTTTCGCTTCCAATTAACTTTTAAAGAAAGCAGCAAAATACCTTTTTGTTTACATTTCAAACAAAAAACTTAGACTAAATTACCGGATTTTATCAGGAGCAATTAAACTTAATATCGCATTGCGGTAATGTATGTTTAAAATTGCTTTCATAATAAATGCTGGTTTAATTTTATACATAAATTTTAGCTTTTTTAGTTCACAATTTATGTAGCATGATAGTGTAATACTGGTTAATGTTTTTCTCTATTCTAGCTTTCCATGCAGATTTCTTTTATGGTTAAGAATTTATGAAATAAATAGTAGATACTAGTTTACAAGATAAAGGTGTATCAATTGCTATTTTAATTATAATTAGTGTTTATGAATTTAAATCCTGTTTCGTGTTGTTTAGGTATTTAAAAAGGTGATTTTTCTATTTAACGAATTTTCTATACAATGAACTTATTATCTTGATGTAGCGACTTTCTTAAATAGAGGTCCGACTGTATAAAGATGCTCAGAATTTAGAATAAACAGAACTCATATTCAGTCGTTCTATTTCGTGCAAAAAATATTTTTTTTACTTAATGAATGACTTTTTAGATGAAGATCATCTGTTATTTGTTGCAGGAAGGGAGAACTCCTCTTCATTATGCGGCTGTTATGAGAGACGGAGGAAATTACTATAAGATTCTGCTCATGGCTGGTGCCGACGAAACCGTCAAAGATAAGGTGAAACACTTAACAAATTCAGCACACAATTTTATTTTATTTTAGAAGGTTTTGATCTCGTGATTTTTTTTTCTCTTTGTACAGGCGATATTTTGCCAGTAATTTGTTTGACAATATTCTGTCCCCAAGATTTAGCACCCAAGTCATTTTAAAAATGTAAAAAATAGGTTATTTGCATGTCACTGGGTCAATGGACCACGCTCCAAATTATTTTAAGTTTTAAAATCTAAACAATTGTTTGACTGCAAACTTTTCGAACAATTTTGTTTATAGTCTACAAGTTAAATCAATATTTTTTACAGAAAAACAAAGTATAACAGGAAGAAAAAAAATAAGTTTCTTAGAAATAATAATATTCGATTCATGATTTTTAAGGAAATATCTCTTTACTGTATCTGGTAAAACTGTTCTGCCTAAATTCCAGTGCATATTAAATCTTAATTTTTATTTCAATGATATGTCAGGATCAAAAATAAAATCGACACCGATTTAGAAAGCATTTTGCATTTCAAATATAAGTTAGTTATTAAAATCTTTTATGTAACATTAAAGACATAGAGTTAGGTAGAAAGAGTAGGAGGGGATATCTTAACTCACTTAAGTTTAAAACTGAATGGACTTTTATAACTTTTAAGTACGAGAACAGCTTCAACAATTTTGACGATTCGGAGCTCACTCCATTGTCGCCATGTTATGGAACTCGCCCCTCGGTTTTTTGGATTGATTGGGACCACATAGAAATGTAAAAGAGGATTGAGATTAAAGACTATTGTAGTGTATGTATCTACCACAACAAAAATACAATTCCAATTCCCTAGTATATAAGGCATGTTTACACGAATTTACGTTGGGGTACCTTTTCATAGATGACGGTTGACATTGTCGATATCTACTCTCGCCCCATATTGGTGACCCGGACGTGATGCGAACACGCCTACTCTGCCAGAAACTCTCACTTTGATATGAACACGCCTACTCCGATGGATGGTCCCCGTTGAACAGCTGACTTGCTACTTGTTACTGCTATAGTAGTCTATTCCTCGGGCTGTTGCTACTCAGTCTCGATCACACACAACGTCGGCCTCTATGCACTCGACTGCTAATGGCAACGCAGGAGCGACCACGACCGTGAACTTCATACATCTCTCACGATCAGCATTTAAAAGTACGGTGATATTAATACAGCCTTCTCAAAAAACAGCAATGAATCAATTAGTGGTATCCGTTCATCGAATTCTATCACAGACTGGTGAGGGAACACTGTAGTGTATCTACCACTACAAACATAAAATTCCAATTTGCTAGTATATAAGACATGTTAACTCGAATCTACGTTGGGGTAACTTTTTATAGATGACGGTTGACATTGTTGATATCTACTCTCGCCCCATAACTACTTCGTTCTTTTTTTCCAGAGTGATCGTACCCCTGACTACTACCTGACACATCCGGGTGTTCTCACGATTCGTGATCTTCTGGAGGGTTACCGGATCAGAGAGAACCAGAGTCCATCTCAAGTGAATATTTGGCAGCGTCCACCCACAGATGAAGCTGAAAAACGTGAGTGACCCTTTTAAAAATCACCTTCACGGACAACGCTTTCTTATATTGACACTCATACTGGACTTAAAAGCATACTGGACTTTCATGTATGCTTCTTGTTCATTATTTTAGCAAATAATGGCCAGAAGGAAAAAAAAACTTTATAAAAGTCCAAGAGGCTACTTCTAGAAGGATCTGATCATTTTACAACTTTCTATAGTTTTATAATGTTAATATTTTTTTGTCCCTTTATCCTAATGTATATTTTTGAAATCTTTGATGAAGATTAATCTAAGAAATTGGGGATAACAAAGTTATAATTAAGAATTTCTAATTATCCATTTCAGCGATATAAGAATAAAGTGATCACAACTTAGCAAATTGTTGAACAGAAAGAAGAGTTAATAACTCAAAACCTAGAAAAAAAACTGGAAAGAGATTAAAAACTACAATTTTCACCTCTTTACCAGAATCTCCTACAATTAAAGCTCAATCTGATTTTCTCTAATTGTAAAAAGTAATCCAATCTCTAAATAACCCGTTAATTGATTTTAAAAAAAATTCTCATTTCTTTAAATTCTTAAAAGATAAAATTCTTTCCTTTAAATGCTTCTTATTCGGCCCAGCTTCACAAGGTGTATACTAATAGACCTGTAGCGTAAAATTTACGAGGTTGGCTATTGTAATTAGGTTTGATTTTTTAAAAATGCTTTATATATGCTTAGAATGCAGTGTTGGGGTAGCAGAATTTTGTTTCTAATAATTATAGTTAATTTAATTTCGTTTCATTTGAAAACAGTCTGCCATATATTAAATTGATTTTTTAATTTTATGCAAAATAATAAATTGAAGTTAAATTTTAATGCTTTTACCTTTTTTAAAGATAAATACGTTCTTTTTAAAAACGAAAGAGTTTTAGAAAATAACCTTAAACAGATTTTCATTCTTTTTTTAATAATTTAATGCGTATAAATGAGTGCACTTCAAAGATAATTTCTTTTAAAAAATCAAATAGTGAATTTATAACACGCTCTCACGACACCTATAGCATCTATATAATAACTTTCTTTGTTGTTTTTACCCTTTTTACGTTAAGATGGCGGGAATTCAAAAAGAGCAATTACGTATTACTTCTTAGTATTCAAAACAAAACCTATTCCAAATAAATTAAATTTTAAGTTTGTAAAAATGTATTTAAATTTATTACAAAAAGTCTTTTAATAAAAACTCTTCAAGTGCTTGTACAATCAATGAGGCGAAACGGAAATAAATTTGTTTCATATTCAAATAAATAAAATGTTTCATATTCAAATTGTAATGTATTCAAAAGATGAAAAGATAAGTTTCCGTAAACCAAATTTTATAAAGCAGCGTTGGTTGAATTAATAATAAAAGCTTAATTATTATGTTTACCCTTTAATGCGTGCGTGAATATCGAAAATTTCTGCAAGTCTCCGAATATATTCTGCAATTTCAACCGGTTACCGTTAAAGCTGTTTGGCATTATATTCGTATGTAAAGTGCACCAAAAAACCCGGACCACCCTGAATAACTTTTGATCTAATGATCGAATTTTCAAGTTCTAAAGTTCAATCTTACTGGTTCAAGGGGGAGGCCTTAAATGTGCTTATTAATTAGTGCAGACGATATTTTCAGTACGAAATCAGACTTATAAACGTATTTTGTCTAAATAAACATATCCTTTATTTTTTATCGGATTCGGGCTCCTGACCTCCTAAAATATCGGGGGTAGCCACAATCTGGGAATTATGGCCCCCATAGTTAAATTAGAAGAGTGATCCAAAATTTGGACCCCTTAATCTTTATTTTACCTTTTTCGTATTTCTCCATGTCACAAGAACTTTTTAAACGAATTGAAAAATGTTTGCCCACAATTATAAAGTTCATTTACCCTAAGTTAATCCCATGCAAAAAATAAATGTTGGTGCACATTTATTCTTTTATTTAATGATAGTGCAAAAAATTTCAAATGTTTACTAATATTTACTTTTTGCATGGGATTATCCTTGGTTATACGAATTTTATGATTGTGCGCGAAAATTATTCAACTCGTTAAAAAAGTTCTCGAGATATGGCGAAATACGTAAAAAATAAAGTTAACAATAAAGGGTCCAAACTTTAGACAGCTCTCCTGATTAAACTATTGGGGAATTATACTTTCCAGGTTGCGGCTACTTCCCATGTTTCGTGGGTCAAAAACCCGATTTCGTTGAAAAAAAGGTATCTTTATTCCGAGAAAGTAAGTTTTTGTGCCTGATTTCGCAACTTAAAATATCATCTGAACTAATTAATTGGCATATTTAATGTCACCCCTTTGAACCATTAAGATTGAGTCATAGAACGTGAAGATCCAATCATTAGATTAAAAGTTATCCTGGGTGGTTCTTTCTTTCTTTTATAATTTTGCGTTACAAATAAATATGCGTACTGTTAAATATTAATGATATTCTAAGTGTCAAGTTTTGTCTAGCGGTGCAAATATCACAGATTTTTAAAATAAAAATAATAAGATGTATTTTTTTTAATGTTTGACATATGTTTTTCTCAGTCTCAGCATTATTTCTGCTCACTATATTATGTAAGAATTTAGTATCTGGTACTTATTTATTATAATAATTTCCTTCTAAATTTTAAAAAAAAAAAACTCAACTGGTTGTATTTTTTTAAAAAAAATAAACATTTGATAGTCTTTTCTTTAAAAATATGTGTTCGCTTTTAAATTCAGTGAATTGTGTTTAAATGGTAATATTTATAGCTAAAGATTTAAAGCTTACCTCGAATATAAAGCACTTAAGCTGTAGTATATTCATATTTTCCTTGTCAAAAAAGTTTCAAAAAAATGTTTTCATTGGGTAGCCAGTTTTGTTCGCGATTAATGAATCAGCCAACATATTCAGGCTTTATTTATTTTTCTGACATCTGCGTCAAAATCCTTCAACATTGTTTTATTCAATAATATTCAAAACGATGCATTAAAGGGTTCATTACTAAATCATCTTCTTGTACCAACTTTTGTATTATAAGTACGTCTTCCCTTCTTTTCACTATTGATTTTTCCTGAACATGTAATTTAAGTACGTGTAATTGAACAAATGTTGAACAAACTGTGCTATATTTGATGTAGTCAGTGGACTCTTGTTTCATTTTTTTCCTTCTTTTTTCTATTCAAAAGTCTCACTACAAAAACATTAAAGAAATAAATAAAATAGATTTTGATAATTAGATTAGTTTCAAATATGCAAAGATATAGGTTTTATTAAAATTCATCACAGTTATATCTTACTCAAAAATTATTTATTAGTTATTGACCAAAAGCAATAAAAGAATTACAATATTTGATTTAAGCTTTAAAAGTTTTTAAAGGAGTCGCGTCATTATTATTTCTTGCAATTTTAAGTTTGACACTTGAATATTCAAACTTTCAACTCCTTATAATTGAAGCTACCTGATGCAATGAAAATGAAATTGATAAATATTTCAACAAGAGTCCATCGGCAATCTTTTGCTTTGATGATGTATTGTAAAATAAATATTTATTTATCAAAAGGAAATAAATAAAGTTCTTTTTTTCTTATTGGATTGTTGTTTCTTTTAAACATTAATATAATCACATAAACATATCTAAGGAAGCGGATAAATGAGTTGACCATACAAAACGGTGGACTCTTGTTCCTAAAAATATTTCTCAATTTCAAAAAAATAACAAAAATACAACAAAAAAATAACAAAAACACAACATTTGCATACAACAAAATTTTAAGAACTTTCTAAATGTTTAAGTTTTAATTTAGCTTTTGACTTTATTGATTTTACTCAAAACAATATTTTTTTTAGCTTAATTTAAAAATATTCGTAAAAATTATTAATATTCTCATAAGCACGTTACATTGGTTCATAAACGTCCTCGTGGATGTTAAGTGGGTTAAAACATAAACAGTCTGATTTTTTTCTTGAATGATGTTTTTTTTTCCTTTAATGTTCATAACGTCACTATGTTTATTTTACTAATCATTTATGAAAACATAATGTATGAAAAGTTTAGTGTGTGAATATTCTTAATGAATATAGATTTTTCTGAAAGATCTAAAAACTTAGATCTTTATAGTTTATACATCGATTTAGTGTTAAGCATGGTATAGCTTTTCAAAATTGTCCACTACGCTTCGATTAAGATCTTTAAGTGTAAAATTATTCGAGATTCTAAATGTAAACTAAAGCTTTCTAATACTGATAAAATTTAAATCGTTAAGGATGAAATTCCATGATGTCACGTAAAACGAGGCTTCAAGCCTCGTAAAACAGGCATTACAATAATTAGAATAACTTATTATAATCAAAATCTAGTAGTCACGAGTAACTGTTGCAAACTCATAAAAGTCATGAAAATAGCGTGTTATTCGCAAAAAACGCATCATTTCTTACGACGCCGGAACCTTCGAAAAACAACCGCAAACAACATTCATAACTGAAAACAAATAATTGCATTTGGCAGGCGGATACGATAGGATTTCGAACCTTTATGCACCAGCGTGCCATTTTTTCTAAAAAATTGTTTAATTTGGTCATAGACGTGCCGTCAAACAATTTTGACAATTGGGATTATTGGGAAAATAATAACACTAAATACTATCAAATCAAAACTCTTTATTTACTATGAAAAAAAATACAGTTTGCAATATCTGAGTTATACGCGTAATTCAACCTAAAGTAACATCAGAGTGACTTCTGCTGTTGCAGATTAGATGACAAATAACTTATATTAGAATGTAAGATGTTATTTTAAGCAGGTCTGTCAATTTTTTTTGCTAGTTATTTATTGTTCGCTTGTTTTTTATGGTAATTAATTGTTTTTTGGCATTAATTGTAATTTTTTTGTTAATAATTGTTTATTTTTTTATGTTTGTTTTTGTGAATTTTAATTTAATTGGTAAATTGCTTCACAGTGAACTTCGTGATCGGTGGCGTGCCCAAAATATTATATGGCGTGCCATTGGTTCGCTATCCCTGCAGGCGGTTCAATACACAGGCGATATTTTGTTATTGTGACTAGTTATTACTATAAAATTAAAAATGAAATCAAAAGTGTTTTGCTTCGACGATAATTCGACCATTGTGGCTAGCTTCAATTAACAATAAATAATTGAAAATACCTTGAAACATAAAAGCGATTAATGCATCGTAATTGAATTAAAGAAATGTTTAGATTTAAAGATATTAGATATTAAAAAAATAATAAACGGAAATTTTAATTTTGTAACTAACCTTATGATTCGACTAAATTCCCGTCTTCATGCGCGTCTGAAATAAACAAAATATATTGTAAATAACTGGAAACTTGAAACAACATAAAAATAAATCATATAATAAAGGGTGTGTAGTGCGTCTACCACTACAAAATTCCAATTCTACCACTACAATTATTAATTCATTGGTACATAAGACATGTTAACTCGATTCTATGTTGGACCATCATAAATCAGTCCGAATTCTAACATTGGGGTGATGGTTGTTCATGATCGTTCCAACATTTGATTTCTATGATACTGTGATGGAAATTCGTGATGGTTCGACATGAACAAACCTTTAAAACAAGTTGCTATTCCTATGTCGGACCATCATAAATCAGTCCGAATTCCTACATTGAGGTGATGGTTACTTATGTTGGTTACTGTAAAAAAAAATGTAATGGTTCATGATGAAATTATTGATGGTTACCATCAGTATTATGTTGGCCATCAATAGAAGTTTGACTTGGGTAGTTTAAAACTAAGGCTTTGTCTTGAAATACTTAAATTGTAATGTTTCCTTGGCGAAATAGTTTCGGGGGACAACCATAAGTCTCGTTTCATCGTTTTGGTTTATACTATCTTACAGTGGATCTGTTTGACCACGATTCTTTCGGTGGGGAGACCCCTGATTTTGCCGATACTCCCACACCGGAAGGTACGGCGGAGGAGAAAGCCGTTGAAACTGAGATGGAGAGAAGTGACCAGCAGGAGGAGGCACAAAGCAAACCTCTCATAGATTATCCCATTCTTTTCGATCGACAAAACAAGGACAGTCGCTACCTGGCTGGTGTGTTGGGAGATGCTTTGGTCAAGGGTCTGGCTCAAGTGGCTCAAAGGAGACCCAGTGACCCCATCGGATATCTTGCTACCTATCTTTACCAGTACGCGGCCATGAAATCTTCTGCTCCTCACGTAAGTTCCCTTCCTAAATAGTAGTATAGTGTATCTAAAATAAGAACTCCCCCAGACATTCGTCTGAACCTGTGGCGGTGACTATGGTAACAAGGTATGACTATTTCAAGTAGGGGTGCGGGATCACTGCTTTGGAGTGGTTTCGGCTCGGGTCGACGAGAGAAAGGGAATCTCTTCGGTCTATGGTGTTAGTGAAGCTACCCTCCCTAAAGTGCACAATTCTTGTTTCCATAGCACCAGACGGACTCAGACTTGGTGACGGGAGGAGTTCTTAGCGTAGACAAACTATAGCACATTTTTGGGGGACTTCGAGCTTTTATTTGAGAAATCTTCTTGAAGAGTTTCACTACTATAAAGACATTTAAATAAGTATTTTAATACACATGCTCATACCATTTCAAAAAAAAAGAAGCCAAGTGTAATGTAAGATTTTTTTTTCAACTGAAAAATAGTATAGTCAAAAGAAGAAAAAAAACTGACTAAAATTTATATTTTGTATGAAATTGTTTTTCGAAAAACAAACTTTATAGTTTTGAGCAAAGATACGTAAATCCGCTTTAAAAGTTCTCGAGATATGGCGAAATGCATAAAATGTAAAATTAATATTACGAGGTCTAAATTTTCCTGACCCAACTATTGAGACAATATTTCCCAGGTTGCTGCTACCATCTATATTTTGGTGGTAAAAAATCTGCATCCGTCGAGAAAAAAAAAGGTATGTTTATTGAAAAAAAAACATGTTTTATTGTCTGATTTCGTAACTTGAAATATTGTCTTCACTAATTAATGCTTGTAATTAATTAGCATATTTGATGTCTCGCCCTCCGTTCATTAAGACTGAGATCTAGAACGCGAAGATTTGATCATTAGATAAAAGTTATTTGAAGTATCCCGTTTTTTTCTTTTGCGCACTGTACATTAAAGTTTTTATCTTATCAGAAAAAAAATTATTTTTTATACTGGCAAGAAATTTGTAGATACTCTAAAAAATAAGTCGACTGCAACTCAATGCAATGCGTTAATTGCTCCACGCTTTATAGAACAATCCTTTTATGTTTCTGCGCTACAAACTGCGATTGCGTTTCTTTTTTCCTTTGATGATTGTCAGAAAACGTTTACATCACGCTGTTGGTGATTTTATGAAAAAAGCATCTGGACATTTTTTCTTCAGAGCTATTTGTTAAACTTTATGACAGTATTCATCCTTGTAATTTTAAATCCAATTTGAAAGAAAATCTCTTGCCTCGAAACAAGCGGAACTTAAAAAATAGAAGTTTATGGGAGGGAAACCATATCAACCTGAGAAAATTTTTCATTGGGTTACAATTGCAAGTTAGTTTGACGTCAAGGGCGATCGAACTCAAGATCTGCCAACTATTGAGATTTTTTATGTATCGGGCCAAACGATAATACTCGACCTAAGAGAAAGCCCTCTTATCTCACCCTTGTGGTTTTTAAGTAAAATTTTGATTTTCATTTTTACGGCTCTTTTTATTTTTTTCTTTAATTATTTTTAAGTTCTTAACTTATTTTTTGAGTAGGGAGTATCATCCAACGTAGCTGTACCCTTTAAAATAAAGTAAAATAAGTAAATAAATAAAGGCTTCGCTTTATATGATTGAAATAATTTTTAGACCTTATGCATATTTTTTTTCACATTTTATTTTCACAAATGTTTTGAGTAACAAATTACACGGTTAGAAGTTTTGGATAGGTAATTTAAAACTGTAAGTTTGACTGTTCTTACATCTCTTAAAATATTTACTTTTGTTTAATGTCAGAAAAACTGCCGTTATGTTGAAAAATTCTTTTACGTGCAATACCAAATTACCTATCTGAAAAAGTTAACGACAGAATTATTTTGGAGAACAAATCAGAATATTCAACGCTTTTCCATGGTTTATATTATTAGATCTACTAAATTTCTTTAACTCTGCCTTTCTTGGATTACTTCAAATCATTTTGTATTCAAAAACTGCTAAGTAGAGACATTTAATTTATTTTGTATTATCCTGTATTTCTCGAAACCTTCAGAAAACTTTTTCTTCCCATTTCTTTTCCTCGTTGACTTTGTCTTAGTTTCTTATTTTTCCTTCCATTTATTAATTAGATCTTTCTGAAGTGCTTATTTTTATGAAATGCTTGAGTGAAATTTTTCAATTCAATTAATTATTTCTGCCTTGGTGACTCAGGAGATAAAGCATTCATCTTCCAATGCGGTGGACCGGGTTTGAATCACGGCAATGGCTGGTCGATACGAATTCCGTGCACGGTTCGCACAGACCACAGTGCTGACATAAAATAACCTATGGGGTAGACGGATCATGGGTAAAAGTTCCTTTGCCATCATGCTAACCGTGGGAGGTTTACGTGGGTTTTCCCTTCTATTTAACACAAATGAGGGTAAGTTTCAGCAGAGAGTCCTCCACGAAAGCAAATTTCTCCTAATACTTGATCCAGGTGTTCCCTTGTCTTCTGGATTGGGTTCAAAATGACAAGACTACGGAGATGTAAATTAGTAGTCGTCAGTTCAAAACAAATGGGTCGGCTGTTCAACGACGATTATAAAATAAAAGTATTTCTGCTTGGAGTTTTTGGAGTTCACCAATAGCGTGTCACAACTGTTCGTATTTTTTTTTTTCGTTTTATTAAAAAAAAGCAGTTGATCAAAACTTTAATTAGTTTAAAGTGTAAATTAATTGTTTGTTTAATTTATTTTTTAAAGTACCGTGACTGATCCCTTGTTTTAACATTAGACGAGCAGTGAACCTGAAGTTGCTGATGATGAAGAAGAAGAAGAAGAAGAAGATGATATGATGAATGCAGATGAGGAAGAAAAAGAAGACGCTCGGTTGGTAAAACTTTTTCGAATTACCATGAAACAAATGTAAAGTTTGACATGAGAGCATTCAAAACAAAGCTTTAAATAATTATTTACATTTTGAAATTTCTGTAATGTTACTCCGTATTATAAATTCTGCAAAACAAATAATAATTCGGAAATTAATTTGGGGATATCGAAATGCAAGATGAGTTAAAAATTATCCTGCAATCATTTCTCTCAATAACGCTTTCACTCAAAAACCAGTACATGTAACTTAATGTATTACTTTCTAAAAGTAATTTTTTCATAGTATTGTGACATTACGAAAGCTACTGAATGTCAACTGTAACATTATCTAGATGGAGAATGTTCAAAGTATTTGTGAAATATCATTACTTATTTTTAACATCAACCAACGATCGTCGTAGATATTCACGATGGACACATGGAAGAAATAAAAGAAGATTTGTATGTATTTTATTTATTTATCATATAGCGCACTCTGATTATCGCCATATGCGTTCCTAATAGCGAAATAATCGAGAGATTTTTCAACGCTTTACAGTTTCGCATTATTCTTTCTCAAAAGCTATTTCAGATTAGATTCACAACGCAACAGATCGCATTAACGCTAAAGGGTATAAAATAAGCTTAGCCTTACCATTAATACTTAGTCTTACCATATAAACTTAGTCTTACCATATTAAGTTATATCTGCCCCCCCCCCCATAATCGGGCGTACGGGAAAATCGTGAGCTCGTCGCCGCGACAGATCTCCCCCCCCCAGTGAGGGAAACGCAGGCAAGCACACCGGCGCAAGGACCCAGCCGGGAGACCCGGCAAAGCCCCCCGTGGCATTTATTGAAACTAAAACATTACAATTACAAAGAAAGGCTGTGGAGCTAGATAACAGCTTCAACACAATTCATTACAAATACGAAATCGAAAAGTTAGAAAGTAGCATGCAGGCCATGCAAAAGAATTTTTAAAAAGGTTCGTGAAATAAATGTTAAAATTCTGAAAACTGGCGCGCAGGCCAATATGGTACTAGGCCAAAAGACCCTTATATTCCTTAAAAATACCATAAAATTTACAACGGTGGAGATTTAAAAATTATCAAGGGGTGCCAGCCCAGGTCAAAAGACCCTCATAAAAGGCAATTTAAAAGTTTAAAAAGCTAAAAAGTAAAAGTATGTAAAATGGCAAAATGCCAATATAAAAACCAGAAGCCAAATGGCAAGAAACAAAACACACTCAGGATATTTCATTTATTATTATTTTACCACGTTTATATAAACTTGCCTTCGTGTATGTCTGTCCGGGTGGAATTTTGTAATCGATTTTAAATTTCTATAAGTTTT